CAGGATTAGTGTTACATATTGGGTATATAATTAATAAATATAGACCAAAGAGCAGGGTTTCTAGTTTCGAATATGTCTATCTATGTCTATGTCAATAATCTGCAAAAGGCTAATAAGCCCATATAAAGCAGATATATAATTTAACAGTGATAGAATTTGAATAGAATATGATTTAAAACCTTAACATTTAAAAATAGATCTATGGTTTACAACTCATTTTACCTGGGGAGACTGTCAGGCTACCGCGTTGACATCACCCCCTTTTACCAGTAGTGCAGGCTTGTTGCTGTGCACTGGGGACCCTTTACATTAAAACATAGATCTATATTAAAAACACACCTATTTAATTGCAGTTATTGACATAGGCATAGTATGATGATTTAAAACTACTTAGACTGTCACAGTCTAAGATGTCACCAGGTAGAGTGTTCCATTTAGCTATTGTCCTAGGGAAATAGCTAAATTTGTATGCATCCGTTCTAGCTGATGGTTGTATGAACTTAGAAGGATGATACAACCTAGTGTTGGTATTGATCTGTTGGCGGAAGTATGGAGGCACGTCGATGGCTGCTAGGTTCTGCTTTCCTTTGTAGAAAAGGAAAACTCTAGCAGCCTCTCGACGCTCCTTCAGTGGCTCCCACTGTAGGTCTTGAAGAGCTTTGGTGACGCAGCCTGGTTCCCTTGAGTGACATTTGGTTACAAACCTGGCTGCTCTTCTCTGTACCTGTTCCAACATATCAATATCTTTTTGTCGGTATGGATCCCATGCCGAGCTGGCATACTCTAAATTAGGCCGGACTAGTGACTTATACGCCTGAGCCTTCACTTTTTCAGGGCATTGATGGAGGTTGCGCCTGAGAAATCCAAGCACCTTATTGGCTTTGGATACAATAGTTTGAATATGTGTAGTCCAGCGTAAGTTATTTGTGATGTCAATTCCTAGGTATGGGATGTGTGTTACCGAGTTAAGGTTTTCCCCTAGCATGGTGTAATTGTGCATGATAGGGGATTTACCTTTGTGAATATTTAGCACATAGCATTTTGATGGATGGAATTTCATTTGCCATGTTGATGCCCAGGAGACCAGTTTATCAAGATTCTCCTGTAGTGTTAATGCATCTTGCTTGCTTTCGACTGTCATGAATAAAAGGCTGTCGTCGGCAAAAAGCTTAAGACTGGCTGAGGATGATAGGTTATTGCCCATATCATTGATATAAACAAGGAAACAGAGTGGTCCAAGAACTGTTCCTTGAGGAACTCCTGATTTTACTGGAGTTTTTGAACTTGATTCACCATCGAGCACTACCTGTTGTGATCTTCCTACAAGCCAGGATCTGAACCAGTTCAAGTTATTATTGCGAATTCCATAGTAGTCGAGTTTGAGCAAGAGGCGTTCGTGAGCCACCGTGTCAAACGCTTTGGAAAAGTCTAATACCAACATGTCTGTTTGTTTATTGTTGTCGAGGGCCCGAGCTATATTCTCTATTGTATTGACAAGTTGTGTTTCACATGAGTGCTTTGACCTGAATCCATGTTGGAATTTTACTAGAATTTCATAGAGGTCAAAGTGGGCCATAACATGATGGAATATAATATGTTCCATTATTTTACATGGAACTGACGTCAGAGATACAGGCCTGTAATTCACAGCCTCATCTCTTCGTCCCTTTTTGTAGATAGCAGTAACATTGGCATGTTTCCAGTCCAAAGGCACTAAGCCTTCATCGATAGACTGTTGAAAAATTATTTGAAGGAATGGTGATATGCTGTCACTGCATTCCTTCAGGACCCTAGTCGGAATAAGATCGGGTCCAGTGGCTTTTGATGGATTTAGGCCAGTTAGCAATTTGTGAATTCCTTTTGTCGAAATTTTGATATTTGGCATTTCAGGAATTTGACTAGGTACCATTGTCGGTAGAGTGGCATCCTCATCTGTGAATACAGAATTGTATTGGTCATTGAGGATGTTTGCTTTCTGGGCGGCGTCTGTTATTTCGTCGCCATCTTTGTTACGCAGCACGCTGATACCTGATGCATCTTTGCGTTTAGACTTTATGTAGCTCCAGAAGCGTTTGGTAATGCCTTTGTGCTGAACATTCTCATTTATGATTTCGCTTTCATCAATGTCAAGCAGATCGTTGATGTAGCGCTGATGTTCTTTACGAATTTCACTATGGATTAATTTCCGTAGTGATTTGTATTTATGCCAATGATGAGGTTCATTTGAACGTTTGGCAACATTATATCGTCTTTGTTTCTGTCGGATCATTCTCAGTATCCTGGTGGTAATCCAGGGTACTTTGAATTTCCCACTTAGAGTTTTACTTGGAATATGCTCATTGATTGACGATATTAATGTAGATTTGAAGGAGGACCAGTTGTCTTCAACTGATCTACTTTCACAGTTCTCTTTGAATTCGCTGAACTTAGATCGTAGAGTCTCTTTAAGTCCAGTCCATTCTGCCCGCTTGTATATGTGGACCTTACGAGGCTTCTTTTTCTGAATTTTCATTTTTAGGTTTATATCACATAGAATAACACCCAGCTGGTCTCGGCACAAACGTTTTCTGCACCCCGAACGACCGAAGGGAGTGAGGGGTTCGAAAGCTTTTGTGCCGAGACCAGCGGCGTGTTATTCGAAACTAGTAACCCTGCTCTGAGGTCTATATTACGATTCGAACATGAAAACTCACCAAATTGTTTCGAATATTCATCATGGTCCGCCATTACTACGACCCACCGTTATGACGTCACACATTACACGTATTAAACTGGGTTATTAATCTCGAATATAACCCAGCTGAAGCATTGACTTTGATTACAGTTTATAGAAGGCGTGAATACAGTCATGTTCGAATAAATCATAATGTTCAAACTGCAAACACGTTGCTATCCATTTGATATTTGTGCTTTATGCCCCCTGTGCAACAAAGAAAATGACACCATGGAACATTTCTTATTGCGTTGTGACGCACTTTCTCATGAGCGACATACATTTACCATGCTTTTAGAAAGTGAAGAGTGCCATACAATTAATGCAAAATTGAGCTTCATTGTGACGCACTTTCTCATGAGCGACATACATTTACCATGCTTTTAGAAAGTGAAGAGTGCCATACAATTAATGCAAAATTGAGCTTCATTTTTGGTATAAATCATTTGAGTTTGGGCCCGGAGAGCCTTGATTCTCTCTGTTCTGTTTCGATTAACATTCACTCTATGCGTAGAGCCAGGGAGACGATTTTTTTTTTTATTCATAGAATTTATTTTACAAATACATAAAGTACATAAACATTATACACTTGTAGTGGCTTTGCTGAAGGCATTATCAGCCACTTGATTTATAATTGCAGGGTGAAGAAAAAAGAAAATTTAAATATGGACTCAAGAGTGAAGTGAGTGGTGGCAGGGAAACCTACACATTTGCACATTTTTCTAAAAAAGATGCAGTGAGCTTGAGAATTTTCAAATTAGTGGATTTAGTTAAGTTTGAATCCCCATAAAGAAATAATTCTACTTTGTCCCTCTTGTGTTTGAATTGAGAATAACCAAAATTAAGAAAAGCTAAATTGTTTTCCAACTCTTCTAAGAATGGAGCACGGAGAATACAGGAAAAAATGACATGAATTGTTGTTTCATTTGCATGGCCACAAGAACATGCAGGTGAAGTAACGTTTGTAAAATTATGAGAGTATAGATGGGACTTAAAAATTAAGTCACAACGAACCTTGTTAAGTATAATTTCTTGATTTCTTGAAATATTAAGTTCAGAGGATCGAATAATTGAATTAGATAACTCTTTCTTTGCCCTTGACTTAAATATACTTAAATTTTCAGCTTCTATGAGGGGCTTTGAAAGGGTATTCCAATCTATCATAGCTTGTAAAATACAGGATCGATGTGAAAATGATGTAATTTTTGTTGGGATTTGGAAAGGAGCAATTCGTCGAACATTAACTGTATGATGTCTACGAAATCTTTGGAAAATACTTGAAACATATGATGGTAACAAATTATTCTGCGATCTAAATACAAGAATATTGCGGTGATATTTGTGTCTTTCTGCTAATGATGTCCAATTTAAACAGTTCAAAACTTTAGTACATGATGTGCCATGAATGACTCCAGAGCATATGCAGGCTGCCTTATAATAAAGCTGATCAATTAATTTTAATTTTGATAAGTTTGCGCATGAGTAGAGGATATCACAATAGTCAAAAATCGGGAGAACAAATGACTTGAAAATTAGTTCCAAGTGTCTACCTCCTAATTTCTTTTGGAGTGATCTGAGTGGGTTTAAGTGCTTTTCAACTTTTTTGTATAGTTCATTTATATGTTGCTCGAATGATAAATGTTTGTCAAGTGTTAAGCCGAGATGTTTGTGATAGTCAACACGAGGTAGAGAGTTATTTCCAATAGTTAGATCTGGTACTTGTAAAACTACTTTACGAGGGTTTGAGAATAAAATGTCCTTACTTTTTTCAGCTTTGAAATTCAATTTCCATAAGTTTGACCAGTTGAAAATTGAATTAAAGGGAGACGATGTTAAGGCATTTTAACTCTTTGTACCTGTAACTTTTATATTACTCTTTTCTTTTACCTTATATCATTATATACCATGTAACTGTCTAAATGAATAGACACAAATAAAGAATACATACATACATACAAAAGGTATTTCACTTTGTGATTGTGGTACTTGTAAATATATTTTGTAACATCATGAAATATCACCAAAAGCAATCATTCTTGTCTTGTCATTGTTTTATCAACATAATTTCTGCTTCGATAGCATTCAATGAGAATTGATAAGACCACACTCTTTGATCAACTATTAATGCCCTCCTCAGACATAATAATAATTCCATTAACTGATATCTTTGGTTTACAATTTAAGATATTTAGCTATTCAATACACTTGTGAATCTGAATTATCCCAAAGATTATTTGATCAAAGTCTTCTTTTTATTAATTGTGGCATAACCACCCAACAAATTGAAATCAAACTCAAAAGTAATATAGACGTAGAGGCAACTGAACTCCCGATTGAATAGCATTCAGATACTATAATCCTGTTAAAATTGAAAAGATCAACAATAAAATGATAATTTGGTTGTTTATCGTGGCATGTTTGCTGCTGCAAGGAGAGATACTTGGACAGCAATTAAGCCCGGGAGATCGCAAGAGAATCGATGACTTTCTCAACGAGGCGATGAGATGCCAACGATATACTGGCTTGTCAGTAAGTGTTGTAAGAGGAGGAGAAGCTGTCTTTACAAAGGGTAAACACCTCATGATATTTTGTGGAAGTTTTTAGAATATAGATTTGATAATTATGTGAGAGAGTTAAAGTAAATGAAGAATTGAGGCATCCAAAAGGCAGAATAATTTTATACATGTTATCACAAAATTTCTTTCCAGATTTTTACTATTGAATTAAAACTAGAAAACTGCTTTTCTGTGGTTTCAGAATAAGTAAACATGACGTTTTTAATAAACTGGGCGTCATTATTTGTAATTATTTGTTCATATTATATATCTGTTATATAAGGTTATGGTATGGCTGTATATTATGGGGAAAATTCTACCGAAAACATTCCTGTTACCGCAGACACTGTCTTTCCTATTGCATCCATCTCTAAACACATGACAGCATCAATCATAGGTCACGTGCTGCAGAATACAAGGTACTAAGCTAGCATTTCTGAATTCAGCTAACGACTGACGGGTGGCGATTTAATTGTAATTCATTTAATAGCCAACTCATTTAGATATGAACAGTACCTGCTACTATTCATATTCAAATGAGCCGTCAGCTGACAACCGGCAGTTGCTAGCTGAGATACGTTTTATGCACCAGGTTTTAGATCTAATATTTTAAACTATGTCTTACACTTACATAGTCCATGGCATGACTCCGGAATATGAAGAATTCGTAACACAATATAGTGCAGCAACATTTGAACCAATATTTAAGGAGATTCATATGTCTTGATTCTTTTAAAATGCCGTTTGCTGAAAAAACTTTTGGGTCGAAATATGCCTCTCATTACAAAAACGTAAATATTTTTATTCGAATTTTTACATATTCTATAAGACTCAAAACGTTGATGTAGGCATGTTTACAATAAATTGGATTATCGTATGATCTGTAAAATGAAGCCCTCTGATTGGTCAGTTCTTGTGCTGTACCAATCTGTATTGCTACTGAGATTGTTCCCGTTGATCACCTCCGTCGCAATACAGGAAATATTGGTACGGAGGAGACAATCTCAGTAGCAATACAGAGGATAACACGATAAAAACGTTATTGAATGATTTGAAGTGCAATACAGGATATATTCTGTCTCGATATTCTGTATTGGCACTCGACTTCGTCTCGTTCCAATACGGAATTTCTCGAACAGAATATATCCTGTATTGCACTTCAAATCATTCAATAACTTATATTATCATTATGTCAAACTTAATTCTAATTTAAATGTACTTTTCAGTGGTTAATAATTGTAATTATATAAATGTGCTTATTTTACTTTGTTTATTTTTTTCAAATATTGGTCAAGCAGATTCGACAAAATCGTGTGAATTAATTTTAAAAGTCATAATTTCAAATATATTAGGTTTTTACTATTTCAAAGTTTTGTTTAAAGAATTTATACTTATCATCGCCAGGAATCAAACAAGAAATGATTGCCTATGTTTTATAAAATATAAAACAATGACAAATACGTAAAATATATATCTATTTAAATGTTATAGAGGTATTAGAACGTTTATATATTCAGAGGGCATGTCTAATAGTTTATAAGAGATACACAGGATGCAATCAAACCTTTCTTTTTTTGACGTCACTGGTGCATATCATCGGATTTTCTGATGGTTCTTAGACATACCAGGTCGATCAATAAGTTCTGAGAATTTCCCTCTAAAATCAAGAGTTTTGTGACTTTTTGAATGAAATTTTCACAGAATATGTAGAATGTATTCAGCAATTAGTGTACCAGGTTTTTCCTACTTTCCTGTTATTGGACCAAAAATATGGTTACTATGGTAACTTGTGTTTTGGGTAGGCGGGGCAAATAATTTTAATGTCAGAAGTAAAGCGCATAAAATGTAAATAAATCATTTATAAATCAATTATAAATATAGTTCTGAGCTGCTTCCTGCATTAGGGTTGGTCATATAGTCCTAGTAAGATGTCAAGGGGGTTCAATTAAGATGTTCAAAGTAATTTCCTCGGTTCTTAATACACCTCTCCTGGCGTTGAACCAACTGGCGGAACAAGTGCCTAAATCCATCTGGGAAACGTTTTTTCAGGGCATTTTGCACGGCATTGTGGAGGTCTGTAAAGTTCGAATATCTGAATCCTCTCAGCTCATCTTTCATCGGTCCAAACACACCAAAATCACAGATCGCAACATCTGGTGAATAGGGAGCATGGGGTAGTTGTTCCATCTGAAGGTCATTAGATACAGTGCTTTTGACAATCGAAGATGTGTGGGACGGGGCATTGTCGTGATGATTAAGTAATGACGACAGCTCTGTTTCAGGGCGTTTTCGTGCAATAGCCCGCTAATGGCCTAGTCACATAGCCCGGCCGATGTCCGGCATCGGTAGAGCTCGGTGGATTTTTTTGGTGCCACCGAGCTCTCCTCATCGGAAGCAGAGCTCGGTGACGTGAACGGACTCCGTCCGGACATCTTCAGGTACTATACTTTCCAAGGCTCTGTCCCACATCGGCCGGAGCTCGGTCGGAGCTCGGCCGGTGTCCGTTAAAAAAACCTCGTCCTCTGGTTGTCTCAGATGCACGGGACACCGACCGATACTCGGCCGTGGCTCATCGGAACCTCATCGGCCGGGCTATGTGACTAGGCCATTAAGATGACGTTTCAATACCTGAAAAAAGAAGTGATTTTTAGGGCACCATTCCCTCACTAGATGTATTTAAACTACATGTACATTCAAGCTGAACTACCTAGACTAGAGTGAACATAAATTCTCTGGCAAGACATGATCCTGAAGGGCATCAATAGCCACACACTAACTTACCATAGCATAATAGTCTTTGTTTATGGTTTGTCCTTCAGCGACTGCATACACCAGGAGTACCCCGTAGATATCCAGGAAAATGATGAACATAACCTTGCCATCTCTACGATTGAGTTTAGCAATGGTCGTCATAGGGGTAGGGGAGTCCTTTGTTCTCCATCCACTTGTGGACCTCTTGCCTTCTGGCTCATAATATGAAACATAAACTTCATCAGCAGTAATAATGCGCTCCAAGAAAGCCTCCCCCTCTGCTTGGTATCGTCTGAGGAAGTCTTGTGCAACATCGACCCGGCGCTGCTTCTGGTCCATTGGTTAGATCTTTTGGCACCCATTTAGAACACACAAGCTTCATATGGAGCTTCTCTTTCAGTATGTACTGTGTCCTTCCATAGCTGAAGTTTACTTTTTCACTTAACTCCCTGATTGTTATTCGCCTGTCTTCATCAAGGACAGTCTTGAGCTTCATTATATTTGTGGGCTTTGTAACAGATAGTGGCCTTCCTGACCTTGCTTCATCTTTTACACTGGTTCTCCCACTTTGGAATTTGCCATACCATCTGTAAATAGTTTTAGTGGATATCCTGCCTGGAAAGGCTACCAACATCTCCTTGAGTGTTTCTTGTTTACTTTTGCCACCAAGCACGCAAAATCGTATGGCACTGCACATATTGATCGACCTGGTACATGCTGGTTATCAGCAGATCTCTAGTGAAAATCAAAACCATTTTTTCTCAAAGCTTCATGAATTCGACCAGGTCTTAATGGTTGTTTTACAAACAACTGGTAATGGGGTCAAAATAATTTTAGCCGAAGCCACAATAAGTCAATGAAGAACAATACGCCCCCCTTTATTGACAGTTGACCCCTGACGGTGACAGTCCATATCTCAAACGTATTAAGATTCACTTTTCGAAAAACTACAATAACGTTGGCATATTTCATTGCTATATAAAAACGATTCATTGATACCATTTACATCACCAATATTGAAGAAATTTTGATGTGCTGATTTATTTTTGTATTTCTAAGAAAAATAACATAAAATTTATAGTTGAGAAACCTAAAACATACACTCAAAACTTAATTCATATACTTTTCTGTAGCAGTATGTACTCCAAATTGTAAAAAGGGGGATTTAGTTTTTACTAATATTTTTGACCCCTGCTAGCTAATGACACGCATAATTCAGCCCAAAGGCCAAAGAATATTGAACGTCTATAATAAAAAACAATACTGGACATGTGTAGGTATGTAAATATTAGGTCAAATATCGCTGCACTATATTGTGTTACCAGGTCCTTAAATCAAGGGCCCTAGGAATTTCATACCATGGACTATACAGAACCTCTCCATCATTCTGAGATTGAAAAACCAAGGGAAAAATTTGGTACAGAGAAACTGGTTTAACAGTTGAATGTATTATGGCGTAAAGACTTTTGTTTCGTTATGCTTTCAATGCTGTATATCGTCCTTTCCTATCTTTAACAGTTACACTTGGGACACGCCGTATACACAAATGATAAGAGAGCTCTTTAATGAAGACATCTACCTCAATGACTTTTGGAGAACAGAGAAAGCATCTCTAAGAGATATGTTATCACATCGCATGGGCATAGCAGGGCACGATGTTATCCGATATGGCAATCAATGGTCAAAGCGGGAATTAGTCGAGTAAGCTACCATAATCAATCATTTTAATTATAATCCATTGGACCGAAAAATTCGTTGAAATATATCTTTTTGATTCTCTTGACTTTCTATGTTAAAGTGCAATCATGTCTTGCCTAAATATGAATCTGCTCATAAAATATGAAACATTGTCATGAGAATCCTTTCCAACAAATCATGTTTGATGATACGGTTCTGGACGTATGGCTCATTAAGTTCTCATTTTCAGGAGAATCCGTTTCATTTCACCAAGGGCTGAATTCCGTAACTCCTACTGGTATAACAACATTCTGTATTCAGTAGCTAGTTATGTAGCAGAGAGGCACGCTGGTAAAGAATGGGGCGAACTACTACGAGATAATTTCTTTACGAAACTTGGCATGGCCAATGCTTCTACATTCAAACTGGGCCACGCAGCCAATTTTTCTGGATGGGCATTGCCTCATGAGACATATGTTCGTAATGAGCTAGGTATCCACTTCGGGCCAATACCGATGTCTTTATTCGAGTAAGTATTAGTTAAGCAAGTCGCTATTACAGACTCGGCTTAGTGGCCAGCCGCTTTAAATTGGCTAAAACAGTAGTGCGTCAGACTTGTGAGGGGAGGGTCCTGGGTTCGATTCCCATACAGGGCCTTGAATTTAGCACACTCCCTTTTATGTCTAATATCCGGCTCGAGCGTACACAGGATCGTTACAGTAGTATTGATAAGAACTTATTAAGTGTCTCCACCATACCCCGCATCCCATTAAACAAACGCTCTCTTTATACCAATTCTTTATTCCTATAGCGACTATATCACAGGGCCATCAGGTCCAGCAGGTGGTGCAGCAACCAGCGCCAAAGATATGGCAATGTGGATGAATTTTCAACTTAATTATGACAAGGAACCATATGTTAGCATACTGAATCCTGAAATAACCAAACAGATTCGAAGGGGTGTTTGGGCGAGAGGGCCCCAAAATAGAGACAACACAAAACCAAGAAATGACTTCAGTTTCGGTTCTTCCAGCTATGGCATGGGGATTGGCAACGGCTATTGGCGAGGTAAGTAGGAAATTTCACAAAAATCTATTGATCTGTGTTTGTTTGTAAATTCCATCTCAGCCTATGCTGAGACGACAAACATACTCTTTATGATAGTCTCAGGTCTATGTTATAATACATTAGCGAAAAGTATAGTGTTTGCTTTCTTAGTTATTCAGCTAATTATAACAGAATGTACAACTGGGTATCCAAGATCATTTTGATGGAAATCTACAGAATGCATAAATTGTAATTGAATTCTCTACAGAGAAGTGTCACAAATGCCTCAGTCAGATTTACTCCGGCGGTGGTACAGTCAAATATTTGGACGACAAACTACAATCCTATGTATGCTCGTTGTAGTTATTTCTCGATTCAGGAAACTATGGTCGCCGTACGGTCGCCTGAGAGCAAATGTGGCTGATGCATAAATGATCCATGTCGTTATCAAATGACGTAATTATATTTTTCATATATGTTATTATAGGTCACCCCGTGTTGTCACATGGAGGAAGTTTAACGGTGTATACGTCAGATTATGCCATTCTCCCTTACTTAAACATGGGGGTGTTTGTAGCATCTAATCAGCCGGCCTCGTACCTCTCAGAGATTCGAATGTTCATCTTCGACGTTCTTCTAGGAATAGAGAACCCATACATAAACATTTCGAGACTTTGTTCCCGAGAGTTTGAGTCTGATATGGTTGATTTAGAAGAAGAAGATGATGATGCTGGACTAAGATATGCAATTGAATCAATTGTTAATTTAATTGATACGGAAAAGCTGGACGAAATCAAATCAAAACTTATTAATCGAAGTCCTATGGCTAATGAACTTGAACCGTATCAGTCGAACCAAAACGCGTATGCTCTGGCAAAGGCAATAACAGCGATAGGCCGTAAAATACCCAGAAATGCAGAAAGGAATTCCAGCCTTGTTAAAGAGTTTAGCAAATATACGGGAACTTATGGCAATTTTGCATACGGAAACTGCACGGTACGACTTCAACCGAACACATCTTTATTTGATAGTCAACTGGAACTAAGCTACGGTTGGATGACATTTAGTTTAAAGCGTGACAATGCAACTCTCCCAAATGTTTTTACAATGACTGTTCTTGAGTTATACGAGTATAACTCGGAAAAGGTTGTATTTTCAAGCTCCAAAAATAATGATGTCATCGACCAAATTCATCTTTCATTTGACACGTGGGACCGACCATATTTGTGGGTGAGAAATCGTAAGTTCAGTGATGCTCCACCTCCTGGACGAAGAGAATGCCCCACCCCCGTCCCTCCAGTCCCCTGTCCAACTCGGAGGAGCTCTGGGTCAAGAAATGAGGCAATCAATCTTGTTGGGGTTCTTACATTTATAGTGATCCTTTTAGGTATATAGATTACAACCACACTTTTCCCTTGAACTACTATATATCCCGCTATGGGTCGACCTCGGACTGTGCATTTTCCTATATGATTATAGGCACTTATTGCAATAATATATTATGCAGATTATAATTAAGGTTTTGTACTACACCTTTCGCTTCTTAAAATATGTTAAAATAGTTATGACATCTCAATTTGGTTATTTGCATATGTAAATGTGTTTTCAGATTGAGAATGTATTCCATGAGCTAATGCTATCTCATTCTCAATCTGAAAACAAAAAAGAACGGATTTTTTTAGGAATTCTGCCAAAGGCAAAGTGAATACAGGCAATATTGGCGAAATTATGAAACAATGTAAATATGCTAAACATATTTAAAGCGCTTATAATTGTAATATATTCACATCATTGGTTTCTACTATTCTATCTTTCTCGTTTCGATAATGTTACATGGCCATTAAAAGTTTTACCAACTAAATTAAGTAAAACCATAATTGAAACCATATTTTGTATCCTTTGGCGCAATGTATTTTAATCGCTAAAATACTTATTGATAAAGCAAGAACTAATTTGACATATGTATTAGTTTCATCTTCTCAAAGTAGAATGATTACCCTGCGTGTGAAGACGAAGCTCACTTTTTAGAAGTGAAGTAGAACTAATGCAAAGGGATAAAATGATAATCTGTGTTTCGATATACTAAATATAATGATAGTTTTCCAACAAATTCTTATAGATGTACAGTATTGAAACAAATTACTTTAAAGAATTTTTATCATACCTTGAAATAAACTTTATTATCGTTGTCTTGTGCTGATACGTGTGCCTGGTCGGGCGGACGGACGGACTTCACATAAATCTAATCATCAACACTCCAGGAAAACCGCTTATCCGGTTAACTAGTAATTTAAAAAAACAGACTAGTGTCATGAATGATTAGGTTTTAGTAATGCTGGGTAAATTACATGCCATTTTGCATTTTAAAGTGCGATATTTTTCACTGTGTGTCTCTTTTTATTGCTCATTTGTATCATTATTAAACAATGGTACAAAACATTTAGAAATGGACAATCGATATGACTATTAGATAGAAAAGTCAGACAATAACCACATCATTTTTGTTTGTTTACCCGCATAATAAAACTCGTTCATTATAATGCATATAATTGATATAGAATATATTAATAAACGTCTGTGTAAATGACTGTGCTTTTCATGAGAACCACAATGAACTCTTTAGAGCAAACCTTCAATTTCTGTGTATTGCCCTTAAGAAAAATATGACGTTAGCCGCCGTATTTTAAAGCGAAAAATAGAACCAAAAGTGGCACATGGAAGAGCCGGTGGGAAACAAATTTCCAAATATTGTAGTCGATGATCTTAACTTAATGGAGTGCCGATAGGCGTAAATGAAAAAATACGGGAATAAATTAAAGATAGCAAGATTTCAAATGTGATCAAATAGAGCAAAAATCTACATATTAATTGTTATAATATATAATATGTTATATACAATAACAACTTAGCGAGGAGACGTTTGGATCGAATTTACATGCACTGGATGGACGTATAATTCTGAAGATGTCAAATGCATCACCTTTCGGTAAGATTTATTATAATTTAAGTCTCAATTGATAAGTGTCCCGAATCAAGGATCTCTAGATAAAGTAGTTTTCTCGAATGATAATCCTTGAATATAAACTACTGTATGGAAATTAAACATTTAATTCAAAGAATAAAACATTTGATCGCTACACCAATTAAAAGGTAAAAAATTATACATTTAATACAAAGAATAAAATATTTGATCGCTACACCAATTAAATCTAAGGTAAATATTTTTTAGGAGGAGTTTGGCTTGTGTGTGTTGCAGCCTTTGTATCTTGTGACACTGCATCCAAATATGTAGATATCTATGAGACGCACTTAGGAATAATAGATTCTACCGATTCAACAACATTGAATCAGTACAGTTTCTACCAGATAAAACTACATTTAACCAAATTAATCGAGATCTTGGAAGAACCAATAGGAATAAGCAAAAGTTTTAAAAAGACTCTTGGTGCAACTGTGAGAAAAATAAAGAAAGTTAAGATAAAGACATCTACTGATACATTTCTGAAGAGTTCAGAATTGAACATGAATAAACTTAGAGGAATTAATGGAATTGATAATTTGAAAGAAGCAACCATTGACATGATATATGGATACAGATATTACGGCTATAAAGACCAAGAAGCTCTTCTGAGAAAGACACAACAGTTATATGATAACAATAAAGATAAAGTTAATACTCAGAGGAACCTCAAGGCTCAATATAATTTGATAAAGAAAATGCTAAAACAACAGAAAGATGTGATGAAAAAATTGAAAAGAATCAAATTAGTGGATGTAAACAAGTTTAAAAGTGAATTACCTAGGCCGAAATCGTCACAAGGGGAGCAATGTACAGACCAAGGTATTTAGGACGCAAACATATTTAATGTAAAAATATATCATTTATTTCAAAGAAGCAAACATATAAGAACTATCATAAATGTTAATTCCATATTTCTTTGTCCAAGGCTTTAAAAAACCTGGACGCAACTAACAGTTTGAAAAGTAGGGAAATTACGCCAGATAAGAATTCAATTTGCCCAAATCGCCAGTAAATCAACCAAATGACAAATATGTGCAATGTTCAATTAATGTATTTTTGAAAAAATAGGGCCAGAAGGGAATTCTCTGCCCAGGCCCCCAGCTAACGGTAAAATAATAGCCCAAGGTAAATGCAACTCGACTATCAAAGTAGTGTGCGATTGCGGATTCAGACTCCAAGGAGGAGCAGAAATATTTGAACTGAAGAATTATGACGAAAATGTTCCGGTTTGTCATCGTAAGTAGTTGTTTTATTTGATATAAAATTTCGATAAACATTGACAAAACATTGTGAGTTACACTTAATTTTGGCAAAGGCATTATCTACATATAGAGTTAAAAACGATGATATTTTGTTTTCAAAATTAAAATTCAGAAGCAAGATTAACAACGAAGACACTTTGGCAAGATTCGGAATATTTGTTGCAGCAAAGCCAATTGGATATTGGCCTCTCAATAGAAAGGATAGAGGAATCAACTTCGCAGGAGAGCTAGAGATATGTTATAGGGGAGCGAGGAAAGGATCAACACATGCAGCGAACGCATACTTAGACAAGAATACCATCTTTGTTGAAGGTGTATCAGGGCAGGACGGAGAGGCAGTTCAGCTGGTGGACGAACGATCATGCATAAGGTTGTAAAAAGTTAATACTGTCCATCTAAAATAAAATGATTTAGGACATTAACACATAGGCTAAATTGATTACAACACATGATAGATATATGGAAGGACTTCGTATTATGCTATGTTATGTATGCATTGATTTAATTTCATATTACATGGTTTACTTCTTTATAGGATAATAAACAAAGAGGGGTATCTCACGCCTACAAAGGATTTTACTTGGATGTTTTATATGAAACTCGACTCAACAAGTCGGCCATACATACCTTTACTGCAGTACTCTTCCAATAGAAAAGCAAGGATGTGGGTAGGGATATCACTCAACAAAATTGAAGCTGGACTTACTATAAAAGGAATGGATGATATCATTGTATTAAGTAATGGTACATTAAACTGGAACAAATGGGTATATATCGCTGTTTCGTACGAACATCACACATCTGGTAATGGGTCGATCCTTCAACTCCATGTCTCTGCAGACTCACACTCGTCTTACCAAACAACACAAACTTTAAATTCAAAATCAAATGGAAAATCTAGCTTTGATCCATTTGATGTATATATTGGAAAAGATTCAAATGTTCCTAGAAGTTTCGCGTGTTTAAAGTTCTGTGCAGCTGCCCTATCTATTGGGCAAATTGAGATGGCCAAAGCAGCTTGTAGACAAGGTGAGTGTGCGTAGAAAAAGAAAGCAATTGGACTAAGACATGCACGTATAAAATTAACATTGGTTTTACAATTTTTAGATATCTTATTGGGAAAATGGCCGCTGGACAAGCTGGATGGGTTGCATGACGAACGTACTAATCGCGAGGCGCTTATGAGTACAGGACCTTTCACTCCATTGGTAGATGGTCCAAAACGAAGGCAAGCATTTCAAGTTGGACCTTCATATTTCCAATCTAGCACGATGCAAATAGCAAATACATTTTCTTGGTTAGGTGCATTCTATGTTGAGGAAATATCTGATGACTTTTGTGCTCTCGTTGATTTCTCGAATACGACTAATTTTGGATTCCACATTTGGATCGACAAAAAGACCAATACTCTTCAAATAGGTATTGGAGAGCCAAATCGGAAGTATAGCGTCGATGGATCTGATATAGGACTTGCTATTGCGTTGAAACAATGGTATCATATCGGTGTAACATATGATGGAACATCAGGTCATACTATGGTATATCTAACAGCCGAAAACGGAACTATGACGAAACTTGAGTTCACATTGGCTAAAATGACTGATGGTACACTCAGCGCAAGTTGGCTAGGTAAAAGTGAAAAGAGAAAAATACCAATGAGGGGTAGAATAACATGCGTGGAGTTGTATGGCGCAGTAATCACGCAAGCGGAGATTGTAAGACTCTCTAGCAGATGTCTTGGACGTAAGTCAGGGAATCTAGAAATTAACATGCAAAAAGTCACCGCCTGTCACTTACTAGTATTACAGACGCCAACCACCGGACACCATCCGCCGAACATCATCCACAAAAAGGTGGAGACTATAACATTATGTCACCACTTGTGGTGATGACATAATATATAAATGTTATTCAGATTAAGATGAATACCTTCATGTATGCTTTGTATGAATCATTCTATTCTTTAAAAAATACATTTCATGTGTAGAAAACGAGTTCTTTAACAAAACTTGTACAAGCAAGCAGAATATTGCACCAGTTTTTGGATCAATCGGTGGCATTGGAGGAGAAACAGCAGAGGCCCACAGTTGGCCATGGATGGTTCAATTCCGTTATAAGGATACCAAAAAGCACCATTGTGGTGGGGCCATATACAACCAAAACACTGTCATATCAGCAGCTCATTGCTTCTTAGGGTTTGTATGAAACGTTCTGTATGGCATTCTTATAATTATTAGTTTTTTACTCATATTTACAAACTATTAAGACTTACGGTCATGTTTTAAATAGGCTTGTCCCAGAGCTTAAAAACGAAAAATGAATACAAATTATATATCTTCCTAGAGTTTACAATGATTTCGACAAGTTTGAAGCAGTACTGGGATCACATCGTAGAACGAAAAGTGAAGGCTTTCAAGTTGTGTATGAACTACGATCTGTTGTATTTAACGATAACTTCAATGAATCAGCTGATTGGCCAGGGGGTGTCCCCTTTGAAAGTGATATCGCACTTGTAATCCTCGAAACAAACGACACGTGTGTGCGGTTCAGTGATGCTGTTCAACCTATTTGTTTGGCAGATACAGAACCTGTTGGTGGTCAGATATGTGTTGCCCTTGGATGGGGGAAATCTAAAACTGGTATATATATTATATATATAGTATGTTTTTATATACTTAATACAGTACATACAAAACAAAAAGCATATAATAGATTGGTGCATCTAATAATTATACTATACTTACTTTTCGTGATTCGAGTAAAATACAGAAAAGGTTGTGCCCGAAACAGCCTGTATTTTACAAGGCGCTGGGGCGGATAAGCGGAATGTTAGAGACTTCTTTGTTTTGGAATCAATGTTACAACTGTAGTGTTACTATTGGACGTTTCTATATGTGTTTTGATATGTTTTATTTTCCATTTGGCATTTGTACTTATTTGTACTTTGTATTTATTTTAGAAATGAGCAATGCACACGATGAGCTAAAACAACTCAGAATACCAATTGTATCATATCATAAATGTCAGCACCATTTGACTGATCTACATGTCAGTAGTTTTTGCGCCGGGCATCGAGAAAAAGAACGGCCGGATACATGCATGGTAAGTCTTATATTAAAATCCACATAATGCTGTTTACCAAACGAGGCAACAAAAAGGTCGATATGGATATGGGTACCAAACTTATTGGGATTTAACTTTTGATTGACATTGTATGACATAGATAAAGGTAAATTCATTCTGTAACTAATCCTCTTCTAAAACAAATTACGACGAGATATGTTGTAACGTAAACAATAAAACGTAAAATTCACGATCAATGTTTAAATGTCAAGGTCGACAATATGAAGACCAATCCGACTTAGTTTTATAACTAGATGATCTGTCTAGTAGACTTACATCCTACATGCGATTGATTTATTTTATACTCATCATATCAGGGAGATTCAGGAGGCCCATTGTTGTGTCAGTTTGATGACGATCCCAAATACAAGTTAGCGGGTATCACGAGCTGGGGAAAACAAATCTGTGGTAGCGGTACACCAAGCGCCTACACGAGCATAGCTTACCATAGGGAGTGGATACAGCGTGTAACAAGTGCAGGTTAGATTTTCGTGATGTTTTAAGTTTTTGTTCATCGAGTTATAGTGTCGGTTATTGGGGTTAGTTGTCTTTGGGACTGTTGTACCCTTACTGCGTTTTGTAATACCATACATCAGGGTATATAGAAACGCCAGCATTTTCGTCTGGTAGAACTAGAAATACTGGACGTAGACCTCCATTTTCGATCCATAGAGAGGTAGGTATAATTTTACTCGTTAGCCTGTGATCGTTTTACAGTGTGTCCTTACCTTAAAACAGGCTCATCAGATTCCCAGTACATTGGGGAACATCCAATTTTTTATAAAATGACAGCTATCTATCAGTTATATTTTATTTGCAATTTCATTGACATGCGAGATATGCAATTTTCTTGTGTATGAACTAACAATACAGCCTCCAATCTGCAAATGTTAGCTTATAAGTGATCGATAAGAGAATTACTTGACGAAATAAAAAATGTACTGGACGCAAGCCTGTTCATACCGGATGGCTTGCGTCCAGTACATTTTCACTTCGTCCGGTATTTCTTTTTTCGTTATTTTTCTATTTTCGATCATTTCAAAGCTAAAATTTGCCGACTGGAAGCTGTGATCTTATTCCATACACAAGAAAATTGCATATCTTGTCAATGTAATGGTAAATAAAGAGAAATCTGACTCGATTCATGTATTTCCTGGGAAAAAATCAAAGTATTTCCGTGCTTAACCCCACATTACAAAATATCTAGATGAATGACTGTACTTTTATAAAAATTGTGTGTTCCTCAATGTACTAGGAATCTGATGAGCCTGTTTCTAGATAAGGCAACTGTAAAACGATCACAGGCTACCGAGTAAAATCACACCTACCTCTCTCTGGATGGTGGTCTGCCTCCAGTATCTCGGTTTGTACCAGACGAAAATATTGGACGCGTTTCTACCCCCTGTACATGTTAGTTTTTCCTTTAGATGTATGTTTCGCTCTTAAAAACTTAAATATGAGTCCATTTCAACAAAATACATGTGTAATGACCAGTATTGTCAAAACATTCAAATAGACGTGTCCATATTTCACAGAACAAACGTGGTCTAATTGGGGGGACTGGAGCAGTTGCCATGCAACAGAATGTAGGCCATTGGTGCGCAGTAGAATGTGTACGGATAAGGATAGCACGGTGTTAGATGACTGCATGTGTACAGGGAAGGGTCTTGAGCTTGACCTAGACCCGAGATGCCTACCATGTCACGGTCAGTGGAACATCAGTTCTAATAAACAGTAACACAACCGAAGATGTTGTTACACGACCGCATGTGGTTAAGGTCAGGGTGCATGATGGGAAATTTTCTGCATTCCTCAAATGAGTCACATGTTATTTTTCAAACAAGAATCACTCCTTCCCTTCACTGTCTATATCTTCCAGTTTTGCACAAATAGTGCACTTATGTGCCTAGAAAAGACTTGTGAGAAGAATGTTGTGATAAAGTCTATAAAAAACAAGAAAATTCAGTGAAAAAAATCAGAAAATTTTCAGAAATTTTTTTCACTGAATTTTCTCATTTTTTATACATTTTACAAAACAAACCTTCTCACAAGGCTTTTCTAGGCACAGAAGTGCACTCTTTGTGCAAACTTGGAAGATGTAGACAATGTGGGGAAGGAGTTATTCATGTTTGAAAAATAACATGTGACTCAATTGAGGAATGCAGAAAATTTCCCAACATGCACCTTGTCCTTAAACACTAGTAGTGGTTGAAAATGCTTCAATGAATTTGATTGGTTCAAAGGTACTACCCACGTGATATAAACATCTTGGGTTGTGGGGCATCGGAGCTCCCATTTCCCGCATGTCAAAACTCGACATATATCGCATTATAAAATGGTTTATTGTGTCTATGTTAGGTGCAAAAATTAACGGAGGTGTGTCCGTACGTAAAGACGACAGGGAAAACTTTGCATGGATCGTTTCGCTTTTTAATCATGAAGGCCATTTTTGTGGAGGAGTCATCCTATCCGAATATTGGATCTTGACTGCTGCTCACTGCATATGTGGCAACGATGACACCAAAGTTTGCTGCAACCGTAAGCAGATTAATCAAGAGTAAGACTTTGACACCTATAATTCATCCGAACACGTCTGCAGTCACTCCTTCTATAAACTGTGAACAAACTCAATATTTCACCCGGTATTTATTCGTGGATGCAATACCTGGTCTGTACTAAACGTTTCGTTCAGTGCTAAACGCTAAACCGGTAGTAGGAGGTTATGTGAAGATTTTGCAAAATTTTGGTTAGTTTTCATCTTCGAATCGTAATATAGACCCCAGACAGGTATGACATCGAGTAATAAATACCTTAGGGGTAGGTTCGGTCGTTCGGGGTACAGAAAACGTTTACGCCTAGCCCTGTCGCATTTATTCGTCGATATAACACCTTTCTTAATTTGATCACTGACTGGAAAGGTCCGTCGGAGGGCACATTTTGAAGAAAGTGCGTTTGGGAATTGTGAGAATGGTGCAAGTTTAAGCAATGTCTCAACATCTTTTTTATTAAAATATAATAAACAAGACGTCATCAAAGTTCTATCACATTTGAGAAAGTTTCACCAAAATTTAGGTCAACCTGTATATATAGAATTTAAGCACACGACTCAATGAATTGTTGGTGAGCTAATGCCCTGTCTTGTGTGCTAGCCTTTAAATTCAGTCTCCCGTCCTCATTCAAAGTCGCATACAAGACCCTATCAGTATCATCCACAATTTATTGAACCCAGGGCTAAATCCTTTAATCCATTTGATTGCTAACACAACAATTAGCCATTGGTATCTGTATGGTATTCTTATTCAGGTGTATTAACTCACGTATAAGCACTTGGAAAGTTACTGCTGGTAAACTGTCTGGCTCAAAAAAATTGCAGAAAAACGAACAGAAGATGAATGTTAAAGAGATATATGTTCATGAAAATTATGACTGGGACATTACTATACTGTCAAATGATATTGCCTTGATTCGCCTCAATGATTCACTTAATTTCAACAATTCATGGATCAGCCCTGCTGTTATCAGCACTGGCCTCTGCGGAACGTATAGTGATGATGGCGAATGCGAAGAGAATATTGCTGACCAATTGAAATATCACGATTGTAGTATTGCTGGTTGGGGGGCAACAACTATGGGTAAGAATATCTTTTTATGTTTTTCAATTTATCTAAAGCGGAGGAAGAGGAGAGTTCCATCTGGATACAAAACATTGCTGAAATCCATGTAAAGAGCCTTTCTCCATTTTGCATGGTCATCTACTCACCATTTTTAACACCTCATACTTGGTTTATTGAAATAACACAGTGTTAGTGCGAAACATATATAAATACAGGGTGTTCAAAAACAGGACCGTAAGAAAGTTGAATAATTCGGTCAATTTTGCATATTTTCCCTTGAAATTTAAGAATTATTTAATTCATTCAATGAGAATTTTGTTGTGAAAGTTTCATGATAATCTGTCGATTGTGTCAAAAACTACAGTACCTTACAAAACATGCTCAAAATGGGCACTTCTTCTCTCTATGCACAAATGAATCCTGCGAACAAAGTTGTTAATGACCCTGACCTAAACACATCAATGTGGATGGTACAAATTGGGGTAGTTATTGCCCTCTTAAGATTGTTAGGGGCCTGTCAGCATACATATTGGCTTTGAGAAATCCCCAAAGATAAAAATCTGAGAGATTTAGATCTGAAGAATAAGCTGCCCATATGTTATAAGTTCTGCGACATGAGCTGATCACCAAAGCATTGCTTAAACCATCTCATCGTATCATTTGAAGTGTTGGGGTGGTATTGGCTTGTTGAAACCAATGACTATCTCCTTAGATGCCCCTTCTGGTGCTTAGTGACTTCCAAAACTTAGTTAGACCTTGAAAATGCTGGTTCTTGTTCATTGGAAAGCACGTCCCCAGTCATCTTCGAATCAAAAAGGACTGATGATTCCATGTTTGCTCAATCCCACCCAGAGAGTGCATTGTTCAGAATGCAATGTACACTGTAACACTTCATCAGGAGAATGTAAGCCCCAGTAGCAATTGTTCTTGAAATAAACTTGTCCATTCAAAAAGAACTGTAAGGAACTGTAACTTTTGACTTAATAAGCAGATTATTATGAACTAAATAATTCTGAAATTTCTAGGCAAAATATGCAAAACTGACTGAGTTATTTAACTTTCTTACGGTCCTGTTTTTTGGACACCCTGTATATCATAAGATCATCTGACTGTTGACTGTGTGACTGTTGTGTTCCTCCAATCACATTCAATTCAATTCAATTTTTATTCATACATTTAATCATAATGTGTACACATATCATTAATAACAGGTGGCACCATAGGTGATGCTTATACATATAGTAGATAAATCATTTAGTATATCATTATGTTGTCAAAGAATCAAACCAGAATACAGCCCCAAAAGTTAGGTTAATAAATAAAGGTTGTGGGGGGGATCCATGATGCTCATTTCTTTTGAAGCCAAGAAGGCGCCATATGCCATGGGAAAAATATATGAATGTGTAGCTTCATTAATTATTATTTAAAGACGCCAGGCTACCGCGTTGACGCCAATAATCTTCTAAAAGAGGGATTCTCATAAAATATTAGTTATTTTTGTACCTCCCCAAGGTTGGTACGATCAGAATCAATATGTTAAATCTTCACTAGTTCAGGGTCATGTACAGTACCTCCCTTGAGAGCCTACCCTCTTACCGAAGAAACAAGAAATGACATAGTCAACCAATGATAAATAAGCTGAGAGAATATGTTCCTTCAGTTCTGAACTTGAGTTTTTTATTTCTTCTGGGAGACGGTTCCATATGGATGAACCACTAAAGGCTATTTTTTGCCATAGTTTTCAGTTTTTGCTTTGGAAAGGGTAAGTTTGATTTGCCTCTAGTGTTATATCTATGAAAATCTCCATGGGTTTTGAAATAATCTGGAAAAATAGTTTTTTAATTGTTTATATCATTTTTCCATTTAAAGACAAATTCAGCAATATTAATTTTATATATATATCATGTATTTGTATGATTCTAAGCTCTTTACAAAGTGGTTGACTGTGGTCTCTATAGCCACTTTGAGTTGCAAACCTCACAAATCTCTTCTGTATCAAGTGTAATGGATTAAGGATTGTGGGATTTGTATTACCCCCTATTATGTTACCATATGTAAGGTATGAATGAAACAGGGAGTTGTAGATAGTGATAAAAGTTTTTCTGTCTAAGATGTGCTTGATCTTAAAAAGAATCCCCAGTGTTCTGGAGAGTTTAACTCCAATCATACTCGTGTGATCTTTCCACAATAAATGTTGATCAATGATCAAGCTTAAAGTGTCTCACACATTCGATCAAAATTTGCCATGCAAACATGTTAGTCTACTTTACTGGCCCCCCTTGCTGTAACAAGGAACCCAAAACACATCAAAACGTAAACATAAACCAATTAGTCACTTCACTATGAAAGTGGGGGTGTTAGCAAATGTATATTAGCAGAATACGCTGTGTGCATGGACTACTAGTAACTCAATATCAGTGGTCATTTACTGTGTCAACTTAGTAACCCTTGCATATCGTGCTCACTCAAGTATTGAATAATTTTTTTATGATCTAAATGTTTGTGGTTTATAAAAAATGTGATATATTTTAGTTAGAAATACATTAATTAATATATTCATTCAAACAGCACTAGAATGCGGGAAGAAAGAGCAATGGTGACAAAATGCAGACAGAATTTTCCGTAAGGGTTTCAAACATTTCTGGACACAATCATACATGTACTTCATGTGTACTGTTATTTTTAGTGCTGTATTTATAGATATAATTTCACGTATTAAAATCATATTTTCCAGCAATGTTTGTTTGTTTGTTTTGTTTGTTTATCTTTATTTCCTTCTCGAAGAAGAGCTTTTTACAAATAATTATACAAGCAGTTATTTACAAACAATTATTTACAAAACAAATATATTTACATTAGTAATTTGACTATGTTTTACCGCATGTTTACTTTGCCACCAAGATGATTATTTGTTCACATACATTTTCATTTAACTGAATGTCAGTATTTGAACCTAGGAGAGTTTCAACTAAAACTTCTTCATCGCCATTTAATAATTGACAAGATGAGCTCACGTCTAATGCATTCGTTATATTATCAAAAAGACGATCTCTTTCAATCATAAGTCCTGAACATTCCAAAAGGACATGTTTTGTAACATCTCTGTATTCACCCTGGCAAAGTATACATTTAACAGTGACTGGGTGATCTTCAATTAAAGCAAGTTGAAGAAGACTTGCCAAAGGCCACAATAAAGCTGGGTATTGTTTTCCTAGCACATAATGTATACTCGGTTCTAATTGTGTGTGGATATTTGCAAATCTTTTGAGCCGAACATCTTCGTGAACCTGACTTTGATACAACTGATTTGCCGACTCTTGGATGTTACGTTTAATTCTAAATTTCCACATATCTTTGGGTACTTTTTGACCATGACAGATGAACCTTTCAAAGTCTTCCAATAAATACGGGTATTTACTCAAAATGTTTTGAATATCTTGAATGAAACCATCAGATTTCCTTGAACATGACATCCTCACTATATAACTGCTAATTCTTGATATAAATATATGTCTCTGCACAGATTTTTCAGATGAATTAATCAGTCTGTTTAAAAATAAGAGCTTTGTTTTTTCAATATATTGTTCCATTGTTATTAGGCCAAGCGCCCCGATAGCTGCAACTGATGGTGTTTTCCATGGAAGGCCCTGGGCACGCTTGGCAAAATATCTCTGGACTCTCTCAATTTCTAGCTTTTGAGATTTGATGATATTACCCCAAAGCTCACACCCATAGAATGCTGAAGGAAGTATTACTTTATTCCATATGTTAACAGAACAAATAGGATTCAAACCACCATGTCGTATACCAATTCCACACAATGAGTTGAAGATTTGTTTTGTCTTAACACAAGATATATGGACAGCATCATTTGGCGTAAGCTTTGTGTTCAACGTATTTCCAACATAAGTCACTTGATTGACAACAGGTATTGCTTCTTGACCTAATCTAAATGTGTTTTGTAGCATTTCGGGCACATTGTTTTTACTATTAAAAACAATAACTGAGCTTTTGTTGCTAGACCCAGTATGATACACAAGACGCCACTTTTGGCTAAAATCAAAGACAACATTAAGTAGGCTCTGTAAGCCATCTACAGTGGGTGACAAAATGGTAGTATCATCGGCAACTAGAATTACAGGGATTTTTACATCATTAATACTTAAACCACAATTCATTGCATGTATCTCATCTATCAAGTCGTTTATGTAGACTAGAAACCAAAAAGCAGAACAAACACGACCTTGTCCTACTCCTGGGTGTACATAGAAATCCCGAGATGTCGTTTTACCATACATAACCTTTGCTTTTGTGTTACTATAGCTATCGACGATCAAACGCCATAATTTTCCACATATACCGGCCCGATAGAGCTTGACAAAAAGCCCCACCCTGTAGACAAGATCAAAGGCCATTTTATTATCAAGAAACGCTGCATACACTTTAGAGCCTCTTTCAGTATAATGAGTGACAGATTCTTTTAAAACAAATGTAGCCATCTGGCTACCACTCCCTTCTGAGTAAGCAAACTGTAATTTGTTTGGTATGTTGCGCGATTCAAACCAGGATTTTGTCCGTTTTAACACTGTTTTGTCCCATAGCTTATTTATTATTGGTGTTAAAGACAGACCTCTATAACTGGTTTTCTTCAACTGTGGCTTACCTTTACCCTTATAGAGTGATAGCATTATGGCCAGTTTATGAGAATCTGGAACCTTTTCAATTCTTATAATAGCATTTAACAATTCACAAATAATCTTAAAAACAATTTCCCCTCCATACTTTACATGTTCATATGTCACGCCATCATGACCAGAGGCTTTATTATTCGGACATGAATTCACAATAGTCTTTATTTCACTATGCGTTATGTTTTCTTTCAGAAATACATTTTCATGTTCAAACGTATCTTTCAAATTACTTAACATTTCCTGTTCAATTTCATTCTTGAATCCATCGTCAAAGTGATCATAACTACAGGGTGTCCCAAGTTCCTCAAAGTGATCAGCCTAAGCGCTGCATATGTCAATTGGATTTCTCAGGATTTGACCATTATGTTCAATTTCATGTCTATTATTATCTTTTAATAGCCTTGAATTTCTTACTACTTTATAAAAATACCCAATGTCGACATCTGCAGCGTTTTCGAGTTGAGCATTTTGTTCCCGTTCGTATGAGAATTTCGCTCTACGAAGTTCCCTTTGAAAACTACGCTTTAGTTCTTTGTATTTCATATAATATGGACATGTATTTGACTTCACCTTATTAGCGTTTAAAATCCAGTCTATTCGAGCTGATTTCATTGCTTTGTGTAGTGTTTTCACATCACCGTACTTCCAGAATGGATTCAAAAAACTATGAAACTTGCCAGTAGGAATTGTTTCCCTTGCACATTGTATTAAGCTTTCCATCAGCTCATTAGACTTGATCTCTAAATCTTTAACATTATTCACTTGTTCAAATTTCATTAATTTGATTTTTGACTTAACTTTGGCTTTATATGATTCAATGTCACCAGAAGTAGCCTTATTCCACTTTAATGATTCTGGTCCATTTAACCAATCCAAATCTTTAAATGTATCCACATTAAACGTCATCCTTATTGGATGGTGGTTAGATAGTATTAACTCATGATCGTTGATGACAGTGCATGATTTTACAAGATCAAATTGTGTTTGAGGAACCATTATATAATCAATACAGGTTTTGTTTTTACCATCAGAACTCCAAACATGTGTAAACATTGACCATGTGAATAAAAATTCAGATTTCACGAGCTCTTTCCTATTCGAGTACCTCATACACCCCTGCATGGATTTGAGTTGGATTCGCCTTTTATACGTGAGCCGACACACTCGCAAACGCTGATTGGATAAAGATTGCGAGAATCTTTAAAAACAAATTGTCACAGGAACTCTTTCTATATTTTGATCATTAGTAAGAATTTGTATGTCATTAGCATTGTATATTTTCTTTTTTGAAGAAAATATTATGTATTTCGTCTTTTCAACATTAAGTGAAAGTTTATTTGTTTCAAGTCATGCTTGTATTGTTTTAAGTTCTTGATTCAGAGTAGTTTGTAGGTCCACTAATGTTTTCAAAGTTCAGATTTTCAGGAATCATGCAACCATATATAGATAGTTGTAATTACAAACTTGATCTTGATTGGTCAATTGGTTACCATGACAACACAATTTGATTGCAAAATATTGTAAATATTAAGGATAAATCCACTGTTTCACTACAAACAGATGGTAGCTTGTCATTTTTAATTCTTCAAAATGAATGCAAAGTTGAGCTTAATACATATTGAAGGAGTTAAGAACAAGATAACATGATAAATATATGAATAGGTTGACATATTTGGCTTTAGACCCTACTCATGTTTGATAACTACTGTTCGATTGAACACAAAGTGGGCGTGGCATTTTTTGTTATAATGTTATTACATTTCCAAATAATTTCATGTTGACAGAATTATATTTACAAGGGTCACTGATGCATATATTATTATCTTGTATGGTAAGTCTAAACATGTTTTGTCAATTGGTTGCCATAGCAACACAACATAATGCATGAAAATAGTTGGTAGAGGTCATTTCAGGCGCAATCCTTACATAAATTATTTATTACATTCATCTTTAAGTACTGTTTTAGTGTATGATCTTTTTTAACAAATACAAGTTTAGATAATATTGATGTGCATTTGCCATGGTAACAGAACTAATAATGCAGTTTGTTGAAATATTGCTCTGTTTGTCCGTCTGTCCGCCAATCTGTCTAAGCATTTCCTGACCCATTTATTAATCACTATTGGTGTTATATTTGACAAAATGGTGATTCTTGATTCTAGAAGAGTCTAGAAGATGTACCAACTTAAAATGTATGCAATTTTTATCTATTTGTGAATATTTACAACGATTTTACTCACGCGGTCCTAACTTCGACCGTTAATTTGAATTTTTGACCTACCGGATGTTTGAAAATCAAGGATTACGAGTCTCATACTGCACCGTTTTTCTTCAAACTTGTTCCATTCAAAGCATAACAAAAATCCCTTTCTGATGGTACATTATTCTCTTAAACAGAGTCCCTACTTCCAGCGGCATTTTGGTCCCCAGCTGTAAGAAGGTGTAATGACCCGAGGGCGCCCCAGGGGAATAACTAATTAACTAACAACTAACGAGCATAGTGTAACAAGCCAGATAAAGAAATTGAAAGAAAGTTTAAGCCTCTTTAGCTCAGTCGGTAGAGCATCAGACTTTGGATCCAAAGGTCCTAGGTTCGATTCCCACACGGGGCATTGAATTTAGCACACTTTCTTTCAATTTCTTTATCTGGCTTGTTACACTATGCTCGTTAGTTGTTAGTTAATTAGTTATTCCCCTGGGGCGCCCTCGGGTCATTACAAAGGCCTTCTAACAGCTGGGGACCAAAACGCTGCTAGAACGAGGGACTCTTTACAATAAAGTAATGCACCGACAGAATTTTGTTTTGCTTTTAATGGTATAAGTTTGAGGGAAAACGGTGCAGTATGAGACTTGCAATCCTTGCAATCAAATTAACGGTCAAAGTTAGGACCGCGTGAGTAAAATCGTTGTAAATATTCACAAATAAATGAAAAATTGCACTACAGAGTAAACCACGTGTTACTGGAGTACTGGGAAAAACAAGACATTTACGTGCCAAATTGTTCTGGTACCCCCGATGGGACACGGATGGTGGAACCTCGTCAATGGTCAAGAGTCTGTATTGGGTGACGAAGATTATATAAATGCCGGTGTTCCACAAGGCTCTATTCTTGGACCCCTTCTTTTCCTGATATATATAAATGATGATGATCTCCCTGAAACTTTATCAAGCAAATGCTATATTTATGCAAATGCTGCATCTCTAAACCAACCTCCAAATCAAATCTCATTGAAAATGATGAAACTTTACAAACTGATCTTAGCTCAATTTTCCAATGGTCCAAGACATGGAAAATGAACTTCAAAGGCCTCTAAAAGCAAAGACATAATATTCTCAAACCCAAGGAAATGTGAATTCAAAGTTCCTGACCTTAAAATTGAAAATGATGTTCGACCTAAAGTTGATCATCATAAAACTTTAGACCTCATTCTAAATAGACACCCAACTTTTGACCAACACATCACGGAGTTCACCAAAAGGATTGATAAACTCTTAAACCAATAAGCAAAAAATTAAATAGAAAACACCTGGAATCAGCCAACATCAACCAACACATCACAGAGCTCACCAAAAGGATTGATAAACTCTTAAACCCACTTAAACTAATAAGCAAAAAAATTAAATAGAAAACACCTGGAATTTTCAAATCTTTCATACTTCCAATTTTTGAATGTTGTGATACTAGTATTCTTTATGGTTGTGACTTTTCCTAACTAATCATTGGCTGGGAGTCTCTCTCACCCGAAGTTAAAGAATCACCAAACTTAAATACTTTAAATTAAAATTAAAGAAAGAATTACTGACAACCAACATCATTAATATTTCTGAAGTGTCCTTGACAAGGAGCCAAGCAAGAAATAGGGTGCATTGTGATCTGAACTTTCAGTCCCATCTTTATGCTCCCACCTTTACTTATGTACCATCCCCTACATGCAAATGTGGGTGTAGCAATGAAACATCCGTTCATGTCATGTTTTCCTGCCATCTTAGATCACCAGGATCACATTATCTTCAAGATTTAGAGGATGTACTTACTCATCTAAATTTTAATGACCCATTTAAAAACCAGCAAGAGAAATTATCATTATTTTTGTATGGGACAGAAGTCTGCCAATAGAAATTAATATAGAAATTTTAAAGATCACTTCAGCTTTTATCTAAAGGTGTGCAAGCGTTTCTTCCACCACCAACTGTATAATTTTGTACACAATTATTCTTTTGTTTATTGCAAATTCATTGTCATATTTTCTTTTTCAAATGTCATTGTTATTCAATTGTTGCTAATAATGCTGTATTGCAAAGCCGCAACCTGTGTATGTAATAATCATATTTTACTATGGAAATAAATCATGTATGTATGACAAAAAACTCCATAGAACTTCATGGTGATTTGCATCATGAATCCCCATATGACTCCGTGAGACTTTGCTCCACCAAGCCCCAGCTAGAATGAACTATATTATGGAGCACCGTGGGAGTGATGATCATATGACGTGTCAGGTGACTTTTTCGATCAAAATGACGGCGGAATAACCTTCTTAACTAAACCACGTCATGTCCGTTGAATCGATGTGGCACGATGGGACTCGATGGAGCAAGTTGGACTTTCCCCATGGGTAGTGCAAGTAAAAGAGGTTTAATCATAATTAAGCTGCATATTTGGTATCATCGTGTAAAAATGTTTTTCACCTCTATAATGGTAGCACAATAAACCATCAATTCACTGAGATATAATCTTTACTACACGCTTTACTACTAGGAAAACATAATATGACCATTTATTGATTTAGTTTGGCTTTAATCAGGTCAATTGATATTAGTGTATGAAAGTTATTGAGGGTGTAAGCAAGGGTCTTTTTTACTTTAATATTAATCTTGATTCAAAGAAATCTGCCCAAAGGATTCACTTTCAATTTGTAGAAATGCATAGCATCATACAAATCTATACCTGGGAAATATTTATACAAATCAAGAGAGTTTGAGATTTTTTTAGAAAACATTTCATAACTGACATACTTTTTTAAATCTAATTTTGAAAACTTCCTCGCTTTCCACGGGTAAAACAATTTGAACAATGATTAGATATCATTTAACGTATACCTCACTTGTCCGTCTGTCTGTCCGTCTGTCCGTCAACAATAGTGGCACGTTTAAAATCTCTGTCGATAGGATCCCCGTTTTAAATTATTTTTCATTCAACATCAATAAAGAAAACTCCCCTATGACTCCTGATTGAAACTTTCAAAATGACCTCTATTTTTGAATCGCAAAATTCACTTTTGGACCATTTAGTTGCTTTAGCTTTAAAACCCCTGTCGATTAGATTCCTGTTTTTTTTGTTCAACATCAATACAAAAAAAACAGGTATGACTTCTTATTCAAAGGCTCGCCTATTTTTTTAAATTGCCGCCATTTTTAACTCGCAAAATTCTCTTTTTGACCATATCGTAGCTTTAGTATTAAAACCTCTGTCGATAAGATTCGTGTTTTAAATTATTTTTTTTCAAAATGAATACAGAAAACCCTGATTCAAAAGCTCATCTTCTTTCAAAATGGCCAACATTTTTGACTCGCAAAATTTACTATTTGAGCATTTAGTAGTTTTAATTTCAAAACCTCTGTCGATAGGATTCCCGCTTTCAGTGATTTTTTTTAACATCAATACAGGAAACCCCGAGGTATGACTCTTAATTCAAACGCTCGCATACTTTCAAAATGGTCGCCATTTTTGTCTCGCAAAATTCACTTGTGGACCATTAGTACCTTTATGGTTTCGAAACTTCTGTCGATAGGATTCCATTTTTTATTATTTTTGTTCAACATCAATACAGAAAACCCCCTATGACTCCTGATTCAAAAGCTCGCCTATTTTTAAAATGACCACAATTTTTGTCTCGAAAAATCCACTTTTGGACCATTTAGTAACTTTATAGTTTTAAAACCTCTGTTGATATGATTCTCGTTTTAAATCATTTTTTGTCTAAAATCAATACAATGATTCCTGATTCAAAAGCTGGCCTACTCTCAAAATGGCCACGATTTTTGTCTCGCAAAATTCTCTTTTGGGCCAAATTAGTAGCAGTTTATACTTTTAAAACCTCTGTCGATAGGATTCTCGTTTTTATTATCATTTTTGTTCAAAATCAATACAGAAACCCCAAAATGACTCCCGATTCAAATGCTCGCTACTTTCGAAATCCCCCCCATTTTTGCCTTGCAAAATTCACTTTTGGGCCATTTCTCTGTCGATAGGATTCCCGTTTTGAATTATTATTGTTCAACATCAATACAGAAAACCCCCATATGATTTATGATTCAAAATCAAGCGTACATTCAAAATGGTTGCCCCACGCTATGTGAGCCCAGTACCCACGGTGCTATTTTCTATTTTTTGTGAAGCCACTCAGTAAATTAAGATTTCTCTGCGCCACGATGTCCAATCCACCAATGTTTGCACGCTATATTGACGTAATTTATTTCTGAAACAGGTTATAGGCCAACCTAATTTTTTAACAAAAAGATTTTCACCACCAAAAAATGTGGTGATAATCAGTAGGAACGTTATATAGATAAATAAATATCTCAAACATCTCATTGTGCGGTTTGCTAAAAAGCAGGAACCAGTAGAGGATTTTCTGGGATTTGTGTTACTACTTAATACAAACTATCATAATTTTAAACTTTTTTTCAGAATTCGAAGCAATACACATGTACTATAAAAAGTGTACATGTACTAGAATTCCCATGAGTTCTCATGTTCTCGAAAACAATTGGTAAAATAGGGATCTCAAATGACAGAAATAGGCAAATCCCATGGGAGATTACAGATCAAGCTGGCAATATCATCACAGATAAAACAGCTGTGTTACAGCATTGGGCTGATACATATGCTGAGTTATTTGATGACGCTGGAGATAACAATTTTGATAATGAACATCTTAGATTTGTAAAGCACAGAAGCAAAGACCATACAATTGAAACAAATGATACTAATGCAGACATAAATACAGATATAACGTAATATAATATAATAGAAGAAGTCACAAAAGCAGTAGCCCGGGCAAAAATACGTAAAGCAGTTGGGGTAGATGGCATCCCAGCTGAGGCATTAAAAAATCCCATCTGTATAGATCTCTTACACACGCCCGGTGATCGTACAAAAAGTGCTCAATATTATTCAAAAAGCAAACCAGGGCCATATTTTAGAAATGAAACAACCAATCAATATCAAGCAAACAGTCGGAAATGTTCAACTATACTTCCAAAGTCGAGACCCAATCTTAAATAACATATGGAATGACAAGGGAAACCTAATAAATGGAAATAAATGAGGAACATATAGGGAATTTAAAGTCGGTGTCTGCACCATCGAAAAATACTGGCAGAATTTAGATCTGGTACTTTGAAGTTAGCCATAGAGACAGGTCGCTTTAATAACATTCCATTACACAACAGAAAATGTCTTTTATGTGATAGTGACCAAGTAAAAATGAAAAAACATTTTCTGTTACACTGTACACACTATATTGATATCAGAAATGACCTATTTTCGCATTTAAGAATTCATCTGATAATTTTAGTGTTGATAATATTACAATCCACTCTATAATGACACGTAAATCTAGTCAAAGGAAAATTGCTTCTTCTTTATATAAAATGTTTCAAAAGAGGGCATTTAATCTGGAACGTTGGTGATAACATTGTAATATTGATGCTATTTATGTATTCATATAAGTGTCTCATAAGCCAGTGTAAAAGGGTAGGAGGTCCTATTAATTTATGGTCCTACTCTCCATTGATTTATATGGTGACCTCTTTGTGCTCTTTCCCTTATCATCTTATACACAATCAGGGCCAGTAAGGGCCTTTAAAAGGGGACCATAATTCCTGGGGGACCATAATTTCTTTCACACCGGCGTCGGCTAAAGGTTTTTATTAATGTATTTTAGTATTGTATTTTATTGTATATGTATGAACCTGTGACACTATAATTAACTATATAAACTAAAAACTAAAAAACTATAAATCGAGTTATAAGTCAAAAGTTGAGTTTTGGAGGATCCTGTCGTTTCAGCTTTTTTGTATCACCTTTGTTTGATCAAATAAAACAACCAGCTAGTCTCAATGTCAAACGCTGCATACGTGTGTAATTTTCATTTACACAGGCACGATTCCTTCAGATAAATTGAAATGGCTTAAAGATGTTATTGTTGTATCAGACACTGAAGGAAGAGAAGATTTCTTATTTTCCACTGCAACGGGAGATGGGACGGCCTGTAAGGTTAGTTACAGTAGCAGTACAACTGAATAAAGTTTAGTTCTACAAGTATTTATTTATTCCACTTTGGAATGATGCTGAAGCTTTAAATATCGACTTGTTTTGATCTGTTCTTTATCAGAGGGGTGATCGATGGACACTTTTTACACCGATGCTCTTTATAGACCAATACCTTCGATTCTTTTGCCAGTGATACATCATTCAATTATCTATCAACTCTGAAGCTGAAGATTTGATGACAAAACATGTAATATATTTTGATATATCTTTATTTCTGTGAAGGGGATATTGGGACCGTCATAACGTCACACATTCTGAAGCCATTTTAGCTCATTTAACATGCAATGCAGTTGAATGCAAGCTGATCAAAACAAACAATAATGCTCACGAATTACTACACCATTTTGATATGCTTTAAATGATTATGAATATTTTGTCATCATTTGCACTATGTGGCATTCATGCCACCTTCATTCTACAGGGGCCTTTACATAAGTCATTAAAACTGCATATCCGTTCTCTGTAGAATTAAGTAGTATAGGAATAAATGTGGCCAGATCTAAACTAAAGGGGTAGGGGCTAAGGGCTCCATGTTCAGGTCCATACAACACGTCTTTGACATCACAATACTTACCTTTTATGTATTACCGGGCAGCATGATATTCCAAACAACACATCACTTGTGGTATATCAAAAAGTTTTAATCTAACTGAAATATGCCAAATTGGCTAAAAAAAACTTGTGAATATGTGACATAAATGTCTGTCCCGGTGTAAAAGGGTAGAAGGTCCTATTAATTTATGGTCCTACTCTCCATTGATTTATACGGTGACCTCTTTGTGCTCTTTCCCTTATTATCTTATACACAATCAGGGCCAGTAAGGGCCTTTAAAAGGGGGACCATAATCCCTGGGGGACCATAATTTCTTTCACACCGGGTACTTCCTTCACGCAAATAATAGTCCCTGATCTGGTCCCCCTTGAAACAAGTTTTGTTGTCCGGTACTTTCCCACAAAAAATGATTGCACAGTTTGATAGAACAGACTACCCCCTTAAAGAAAATACCTCTTAAATTGATAGAAACAGGGGCAAAAGGCACCAAAATGGGGTTAGACAAGGTGGCATTCTGAAGTCTCACTTTCTTGTCATCACGATTCCAGGAAAACCACCAGATGGATTTACTTCAAATGTTACATGGTAAGAAGTTCTAGAGCTGATTAACTTTTCTGCGGCCATCTTGCATTCTGGCGGCCATGTTGGAATTGTTTTAGATAAATATTGTCATCGCCATTCCAGAAAAACCACTTAACAGATGTACTTCAAATGTTCACACATGTTATATGATAAAAAATCCCAGACCTCATTATTTTTTTGTTGGCCATCTTGGGAGTTTTAAGATAAATCTTGTCATCACGATTTCAGGAAAACCAAAGAGATTTACTTTAAGAAGTTCTAAAGCTAATTAATTTTTCGGTGGCCATCTTGCATTCTGGCGGCCATCTCGGAAGTTTTTGGATAAATCTTTTCATCGTGATTCCAGGAAAACCACTTTACTGGTTTTCTTGAATTTCTTATACATGTTACATGGTAGGTTACATGCTACCTTTTATATTGATATAAACAGGGGCAAAAGGCACTAAAATTGGATCAGAAAAGATGGCATTCTGAAGTCTCACTTTCTTGTCATCACGATTCCAGGTAAACAACCAAATGGATTTACTTCAAATTTTCACACTTGTTACATTGTAAGAAGTTCTAAATGTGATTAACTTTTCAGCGGCCATCTTGCATTCTTGCGGCCATCTTAGAAGTTTTAAGATAAATATTGTCATCACGCTTTCAGGAAAACCAAATGGATTTACTTAAAATCTTCACACATGCTATATGGTAAAAAGTTCTGGAGCTGATTAACTTTTCGGCGGCCATCTTGCATTCTTGTGGCCATCTAGGAAGTTTTTAGATAAATCTTGTCATCGCGATTCCAGGAAAACAACTTAACAGATTTATTTCAAATTTTAACACATGTTAATAGTAACATAGCCGAAAAGTTAATCACCTCTAGACTTTCTTACATGTAACATGTGTGGAAATTTGAAGTAAATCCGTTTGGTTTTCCTGAAATTGTGATGACAAGATTTATTTAAAAACTTCCAAGATGGCCGCCAGAATGCAAGATGCCCGCCGAAAAAATGACAAGAAAATGAGACTTCAGAATGCCACCTTGTGTAACCCCATTTGGTGCCTTTTCCCCTGTTTCTATCAATATAAGAGGTGTTTTCTTTATAAAGGAAGTCTGTTCTTTCAAACGGTACAATAATTTTATGTGGGAAAGTACCGGACAACAAACTCCTTATATAGAGCCGCTTTGGAAATCAGATCAGGGACTATAAAGATATATTAACATGTATCGCATATTTTGTCTTCAAATCTTCAGAGTTGATAGATAATCAAATGATGTATCACTGGTAAAAAATCAAAGAGATTGGTTTTTAAAAAGCATCCGTCTAAAAAAGCGTCCATTACTTATTGATCACCTCTCGTAAAAAGGAATATAAAGGTTCAGCTCCTCTTTAAATATGGTTTCATATGTCGAAAGGGTCGAAACTTATTATATATCGGGAGACGTTGATAGGCATATTGTTCCCAAACAAAAAAGTTGGGAAAAGTCAACATACATGTAGGATCCCAATAAGGGAGTTGCTTTACTTGTATAGCTGAATAGAGCTAGATAAATAGAATGCAGATATGCTATTGAAAAGAAGGACTTAGTCTTGCTCAAAGACTGTATCCACCCCCCTGTCACCTTCACTCTCTTTACCTTGCAATATACAGAGAGAAGGATAAAGGGGGGGGGGGGGGGTACAGGATCTTTTAAGCAAGACTAGGCCAGACTGTCATAGGCTTCAAAGTTAAAAACTTGGAATAGTCTCTTAATTTTGTGATTTATCAAAAAGTGTTGGTTGAAGCTGTCTAAAATTTGAATGACATACTATTAGGGATGACCCTGTCGAACGAATTAACCAAGGTTTTTAATAAGAATTTAAAAATTGCATTATGGAGATTTGGTCCCCACTATTTAGAAAAGTGAAAAAGTCATGGAAAATGACTCCAATAACATAACTGAATTAATCAAAGATATTTATGTGGAAAACTTTTCACTGAATGCAGATATGCTATTGAAAAGAAGGACAACTAAGTCATTAGGGGATTCATATGCTTAAAATCTCACGAAAACACGAGAATAAACGAGATTTCAAGCATACCTCTTGATATACGTTTTGAATCTTTTGATAAGGGTGACAGTGGTGGACCGATGATGTGCGATGATCCAAACGGTAATACACGAGTTGTAATGGGCATCATGAGTTATGTTGATCTCGAAGGCTGTGTACCAGGCGTCATCAAGAACTTTCACTCATTTGTACCCTATTTTCTACCATGGATAAGTGAAACAATAAAAGGTATTGAACAACGTTCACCCTGGGTATAGTCTGTCACGTGACTTCATGGATGACGTGTGCGCGAGTGATTCGCATTTTCTTTCGCTTGAGGTTTGTAATCACACTTTTTACATGTTTTAAGATTTTGTATCTCTGTGAAACTTGTCCCGTACCATCAATGTCTGAAGACGATCTAATTCACCAAATATCTCATCCAAGCGTGTCCCGGTTAAAGAGAAATTCGCACTTTTGTGTCTCGCAAAATGACGTGTGCGCGAGTAAATCGAATTTTACGAAGGATGGGTGCGCGAGTCTAAAATATTTTTATTCACTTGAGACAATTCTGCAAGCTAAGGCAGAATACAACTCACGTGACATTTGTTTTTGTCATCTTAAAGTAGTATGTTAAAGAATAGTTTGCTATTTTGTAGATGTTTCATGTATGGCACATACATGTCTACGTTTAATGACAATAAATGTTTTGAAATAGCTTGTATGGCTGTCCGGCATTGCAGGTGAATTAAAATTTGAACCAAAAATTGAATTAAATTTTTGGCGGTCTCATAAAACCGGCAGCATATTCATTTATTGACATCCCATACAAGGGGGGGGGGGGGTCAGAGTTGTTACGTGGTTACTCGGCATCCGCCACGATCAGAACCATGTAAGGAATAGTAAGGGGAAGCCCATGATACCAAGTAATATCAAATAATTATAGGAGCTTCTAACTTCTTCCGCATCCCCACCCTTGGTATACGCAGCTGACAAAATGGATCGGTACGGGTCAAAAGCTGGACCTGTACGGGTGAACTTTGGGGGTACTTAAAATCATTCGGAGGGATCATATATTTCAACTTAGATACGAAGAAGTCAATATTGAGCAAGTTATAGCTGTTTTAAATTCAAATAAAACCGTTAACCCGTACCGGTTCAGCTTTTGACCCGTACCGATCCATTTTGTCAGCTGCGTATACCAAGGGTGGGGATGCGGAAGAAGTTAGAAGCTCCTATAATTATTTGATATTACTTGGTATCATGGGCTTCCCCTTACTATTCCTTACATGGTTCTGATCGTGGCGGATGCCGAGTAACCACGTAACAACTCTGACCCCCCCCCCTTGTATGGGATGTCAATAAATGAATATGCTGCCGGTTTTATGAGACCGCCAAAAATTTAATTCAATTTTTGGTTCAAATTTTAATTCACCTGCAATGCCGGACAGCCCTACAAGCTATTTCAAAACATTCATTTTCATTAAACGTAGACATGTATGTGCCATACATGTGTAACAACCGGGGTCACACTCGCCTAGCCTGACGTTACATAAAATTATGAGATGTTACAAATATACTTGAAATTTCTGTGGTAGCGTGTATATGGCTTTGACTAGGGAGTGTGTTGGTTGTTATGAATTCTAATCTGCTCTACTGACAACTAACTGTCACACTGATCTCAATAATAACATAAAATATGATTTGAATTAAAATATATATATTATGTAACCAACTAAAAGTATGAAATATGTACAATGAGTTTTTACAATGAAGTTAAGGTCTTTCAGATGGTATGTCAAACAAGATACTGTAAATACCTAACAAAACAGTTTTCAATCTTATTACCAATCTGACCTTATATAATACACACAACTACATGTAGATGCTCCACAACACTAGTGCCACCTTTTGGCAAATATTCAAACTGATAAAAGTACACACATGGCAATGAATATCTATCTTCAACTAAAACCTTGCAAAATTAGTATGCTACCCTAAGCTGGTAATATTCACAGAACAAAATGAGATATAATTCTGAACATATCTGATTGGAATCAACGATAGCAACTAAAAGAAATGATGTAGAATCTCAGAGTTTGCAAAATTAGGTCACTTTACTTAGCGGTCTATTTCTGTTCAAAACTAACTTCCTTACCCTATTTAACTTGATCTATCTTATCCTAGGCCATTTACTGTGAACAGAATCATATCCTATCCTATCTTAGGACCTTAAGTCCTACATTTAAGACGATTATAATCTGCACAATATAAAAATGACAATCTCCTAAATTCTCCACGTGCGCCTCCTAACGCTTTTATAAGACGTGCTCTGATTGGCTAATCTAAACTAGGCTGAAGTTTTTGGCACCAAATTCAAAAGTTATAAAAAGTTTAAATGACCTTTAAATCTTACAATAAAGTGAAATACAAATATTTACATTAACAGATATATGAAATAATTAAACTGGGCATGAAATATAAAAAGTAACAACCCAGGGTTGTTACACATGAAACATCTACAAAATAGCAAACTATTCTTTAACATACTACTTTAAGATGACAAAAACAAATGTCACGTGAGTTGTATTCTGCTTTAGCTTGCAGAATTGTCTCAAATGAATAAAAATATTTTAGACTCGCGCACCCATCCTTCGTAAAATTCGATTTACTCGCGCACACGTCATTTTGCGAGACACAAAAGTGCGAATTTCTCTTTAACCGGGACACGCTTGGATGAGATATTTGGTGAATTAGATCGTCTTCAGACATTGATGGTACGGGACAAGTTTCACAGAGATACAAAATCTTAAAACATGTAAAAAGTGTGATTACAAACCTCAAGCGAAAGAAAATGCGAATCACTCGCGCACACGTCATCCATGAAGTCACGTGACAGACTATACCCAGGGTGAACGTTGTACTCTTTCAAATTTCTATTTCTTAAATATTATGTAGCAAATAGTGTTTGAGGATGTGCAAAAATTATGCTCCTTAGAGGACGCTCCATGGATCTCTACTAGCTGCAATTGTCATGGCAACGCAACGACGGGGAAAAGGCAAAAATACAGAGTGTGTAACAACCCCCTTATCACAGATAATTCACAGCCTATTTATGCCACGTTTCCTTGCACTGAAAAGAAGATGGAGGGGTGTTCAGGTAATATACACGATATACCAGTTAATTTACTGTATAAAATATTGTAACGTGGGGACAAACTAAATATGTCAGATACCAGCTTTACCCTCTCAGTTAGCAAAGACAAACCAAAACTAATATGCCAGCCTTACCATCCAAAGCCAAACATTGCAAAATATTCTGTCTCAATATTATGTTTATAACTCAAAGCTGAGCCTAAAATGCTTTTATCGGCGATTGGAAAGTTCTTCTGTATTATAAATAATTATCGAGAGAAATATTGATAAATAATAAAAAAAAACATGCTAGTCAATGTCTTTCTATCGAAATTGCCGTGATCTGTCTTAAACAAGTTTTTGTTTTAGACTGTTTAAGCAATGACGCCGATGCCTGTGTGCAGGACGATTTTCATGAGAATGTTGAATGGACCATGGAACAATTTGACAATATTAGCAGAGCCCTTGGTGAAATACACACTGCTATAACAAATCTTACTTCCATCGACGATTTTACGAGTAAACGAGTCTCGGAAATCGTATTAATCATAACAGGTAAATTGGTTGAAATCCATGTTTCCTACTTATATTTTACCCTATGTGAGAAATGAAGTAAGATAACGTATGAATAGTGAAAGAAATTAGGCAATCCAGGGATGGGTAATTTTTTTACAAAAGTTTCGGAGATGAGTTGTCAGTTTGTAAGTTTTTGTTTACTGAAATGCTCTAAAACATAAATACACTTGTTTACAACTTCAGGAAATAATATATGCACAATAGCAACCTATATCAATATCACATGCGTATATCTAATCTCTTTATAAATTACTTTAGGGAGTGATCTTGGACACGATTGTTCCAGTGACAGTGGATGCTGCGTTGAAAATTCCATGTGTTCAAAGGCCAATAACAAATGTATGTGTAGGGCCGGTTTTGCTAACATTGGACTTGAGTGCAAATCAATATAGAGTGAGTTTTTAAAAATGTTTAAAAATCGCACATTTTTAGAATAATGATGTATATGATGAATTTGACAGTTTTCGTTATAACATTGTCAACATCATGTTTTCATCTCTATTTAAGTGTACATGGTGTGTTATATAACAATACCATGTTCCGTTGTATGTTTAGATAGAACATTTTAGTAAAATTATAATGATCTTAAACTACGAAAGGGATATTGTGTTTCACAACAAGTTTGGATATTATTAATGAGACTAAATGCTCTCTTATCTTCTTTCAGGACAGTTACAGTGTATTTGTATATGGTATGGTGTATTCACGACACGTTCTGCCATACAAAAGTATACTTATTATAAATCGACTTCGAGTCTACAAACTAACTTATTCATTGCTATATCTGAATAAATATTATATTCCCTTGATAACGAAATGCATTTTATTAATTATGTAATACAAAACATTAAGAAATGACTACTAGTAACATCTCTTTTCGAAGGATCTTTTAATTTTGGCGCATTGAGACCAAGGACGACAAACGGCAGTCTGTAAAAAACATTATTTATTATGAAATAAAATTTTGCTCACCACATCCAATGTCCATCTGTCGTTCTTTATGAATAATATAATAATAATAAAATAAAATAAATCAATCAATTATCAATCAATTATCATTTATGATAGTATTAAAAAATAAGTCAAGACGACGAGAGACTTAATTTTATGACTATGCTTTAGCAATAATCTTTAAAAGTAGAAATCCCAGTTTTGATTGTATTGATTTTGGACGTTTCTTTCAATAACTTTGACAGGTGGCAGGGTATCTAAATTTTTCCAGGCATCTACGTATTTCAAAATAAGCACTGAATGGAAAACATCGACAGAGATTTTTTGAAAAACACGTTGCTTCCAATATTCTGCATCCTCTATTTAATTCATCTATTTATAGTAATTCAATCTCATCCATGGTCTACGATACTTATAGCCTATGAACAGGTAATATTTTAACTGCCTTGGAATTAAATATCATTTTAAGTAATTGAAGATATTATGTGAAGCTGAATATCTATCTATCTTGAATTTAAATTCATTTATAACATTCATATTGGAATATTTTTTATATATATGATGGATAGATCCAATATGCAGAAATAGCTAGCCACCTGTGTAAATTGTACACATCTATAGGCAAACATAACCTTTGTTTTATATGCATTGTGTATAATTTATCATATCTAGCATTCGTATAAATTAGTTATATCTACATATAACAAATAAAGTCATAATGAACAATACATCGGGTTTTAACTACCTGCGAAAACGTTAAATGAGCAACAGTAAATGGAATGTATTTTTGGACTGACTGTTAAGGAAAGTGATTCCGAAAATGCCCTACATCGGTAAGGTTTTGATGATTAGTTTCGTAGTTTGTATAAATATACATTTACAGATTTGTTAATGTACGTAAACGACATACGTGCATCTAGAAAACACACACTCGTATAAAATCCAAGCACTTCTTTTCTCGTTGTAATCCATCAACAGTAACAACAGTGCATCAAATTGCATATGAAACATCAAATTGGCACCAAATATGAGAAATAATGCCCAAATGTGATTTATGGCAAGTTACAATGCGATCATATATTTTTTTGATATTAGTGCTACGGCCAAGCCCATTTGTGTCCAAAACACCTAGATTCAATTTGACTTTAGATTCTTGTAGGGGACCCCAAGGCATGTAAAAAAACTTTGTGAACCCTTGCAAAGCAGGCTCAAAAGTGCTGAGTCAGCAAATTTTATCATTTTCGAGTCGGAGTTTGACCATATGCTTAGAACTATTTAATATCTCATTTGAGGTTGTTGCAATTATAATGAAACATTATTAATATATCAGTAAGGCAAGTATGAAGAATTCCTGAAAGTTTGGGTCTTATCCAACAGAATTTGGTAGAGATATAAGATATTTTGTCCCTAAAAGTACAAAATTTCTGTTCAAAATTTCTTAATCAGTCGATAGTTAATCCGTCATTTAAAAAACAGTAAGGGCCTATGGTGTATAAAACCTGATTAAAAACGTCACTGATGATGTTAGCAAATATTTCTTGCATTAGTTTCAATAAAAAGTGCATGCATCTATTTTTCTGATTTTTTTCTTTACCTTCCCCTAAAAATTCAAGAAAGGGGGCGTGGCACCTTACACTTCAGTTGTTGAACTTGTTGCTAGGGTCAAATAGAAAATGTGTATCATTATAGCAAAATTTGTTATTCTAAATAAATCTAAACACTATATGTGACATCATAATATGCTAAATATATTCATTTTATATTTTTTACAGCTCATCTTTGCCATACTCCATAAAACCGTTTGGGGTATGTGTGGTCAGCAATTGGAAATACATGTATGTGTACTAATAACATTTTATAACATCTTACAAAATTGTATTTCAGGTGCCATTCTTTCCTAATGTTGTTCATGTAGTTATGGTCTATGTTTATGAATGATAACACTTCCCATCATAAGTTTGGCAACTCGAACCCCTTTGAATCACTTATTAAAGCCTGCTTATTTTTGGCATATGAAATTGAAGTATCTGAAATAAGGTAATAAGGAACATAATCAAGGTTTTAAAATAGACAGACTTTCATATAATAACTTCCAGTTGCCCAACTTATGGAGGGGGTGTACATGCTTTATAGTATAGGGTCTATGTAAACTGCAAGGAGACTCCTATTGTTACTGCAGACAATTAGCTATATAATAACAAAATGTAACAACTAATGATTAAGAGCCAGAGTTTTAAAATGCTCTTTATTTTAAGCTTGAATCAAGATTTGTTATCAAGATTTGTAAATTTCAAGATAGATCTTAATTTTTAGCTTTTTTATGCCACAGTCGCACCCCCTGACATTTGGTATGGCAATGGACCCAAATTTTAGGATGTGGTATGAGAATGCCCCCTCATTATGACTTTTGAGGGATGGAAATGGTCAGATTTTTCAACTTTCTGGTATGAGAATGGTCATGGAAAATATGTTACCTCACAATTATGGTATGGAATTGGTCTAGTAGTTACACATATCCTAATTTGAGGTTGTTTTGGTTCGTTTTCCTCAAAGATCTCCTTCTTCTTGGGACCTTCTTCAGTTTGAATAATAGCTTTTTTTCCCAGGAAATATTCTACTTTGGACCAGTCATGGCATTGGTCCTATATTTTGACATTTGGTATGGCATTGGTTTCAAATTTGGGTATTCGGTATGGCTTTTGGGCAATATATGGGAATATATTGATATCTGAGGGTTTAGCCTAAGGCCCCCGCCAAATTTTGTACACAGTGAACCCCTTGGGATCGACCCCCCCCCCTGAAAGAAAGCTGGCTACGTCCCTGTTGTCCCTACAGAATTGGAGATAATGTTTCATCCCTAGTCTAGCACCCGATACTTCACATAGTATCAAGGGAATTGATTGTACTTTGTACAGGAAACAATTGTATCCCTGTGGATAGAAGAGTTAAGTAGCGCCAGCGAAGTAACCTCCTTTGTATATATGCACGAAAACATAGAAATAGATTTTTAAAATCTCGATTATTGGAATCAATTTCACTTGTTGATTAAGGTTATTTTAGTTATTATACACAAACTGAAGAATTTGTTCCTCTGTTCCATTTTCACAAGTTTTTTGTGCAACATGTGTTCATTTTCTTGACATCATCATTTATACCAGTAGAGGTCTTTATATTTTATAGTGTTGTTGAGTGGAATTACCTTTTAGCATCTCTTTCAACCAGTCAAGTATTCTTGAACTATTCATTAAGTGTCCGTCCAGTTTCATTTATTTATGATAAGCTCTTTCAGATGTCTGAGTCATCACCTCCATGTAAGTATAATAGTGTAAGTGTGCAATGGAGCTTATTATCATCTTCGACTTCAAAGTTGTTATTCATTACTTCGCTAAAGCCTAACGTACACCAATACGACATGGTGGGACCTCCATTGATTTAACAGCGGGTGGGACCTCATGGAAATTTGTTGGAATTCATTGAGCTTTGCCTGATGGAACACCTTGGGATTCCTTGGGACTTTGCCCCATGAAGCCCCATTGAGTCCCATGAGATTCGATGGGGTATCATTTGGCAAAGTCCCACGAAGCCCCCTTGAGAATGAACCTGTTCATTCTCTTTCCATTGGGCATCTTGGGACTTTTGATCATGGGATGTGTCACCTTACTTGGGATAAAAATGACCATGACAAACCTTCTAAACTAAATTACATAATTTATGGAGGAACTCGATGAGACTCCATGGGGCAAAGTTGACAAGGTCCCATGGGACATTGTGGGACTCGATATGGTGTGGTGGGACTTGATGGGGTGAGTGGGATTCTGCGCCATTGGAATATGTTAGCCTTATGACCAAACTCGAGTAATGTCACATATCACATAAGTAATGTCAACAAACCCAGTGCCAAGGAATTGATCACTTGGAGAGAATGTAACGGACTATTATTTCCTTTGGCTTCGGGTTTCTACAACTAAACAATTTATGACACATATAATACAAAGCATATACACTCCCTCCATAAGGTTGGCAACTGCAAGTTTTCATATGATAACATATCAACATCTGTCAATGTTTGAACCTCAATTTTGTTCCTTATTGCTTTATTTCAAAAGCTTGATGTCTTGTTTAAAATTGCCAAACAGCATGACAAGCTTTGATAAGTGATTCAAAGGGGGACTCCCAGTTACAAAACTTATAATGGGGAGTGTAATATAACATATAATCATCATAATTCATTCTTAACATACCATAACTACATAAACAACATTAGGATAGAATGGCATCTGAAATACAATTTTGAACTTGAATGTTATAAGTACACATACATGTATTTCCTATTGCTGACCACACATACCCCAAACGGTTTTATGGAGTATGGCAAAGATGAGCTGTAAAAAATATAAAATGGTAGAAAATGAATATATTTAGCATATTATGATGTCACATATAGTGTTAAGATTTATTTAGAATAACAAATTTTGCTATAGTGATACACATTTTCTATTTGACCCTAGCAACAAGTTCAACAACTGAAGTGTAATGTGCCACGCCCCCTTTCTTGAATTTTTAAGGGAAGGTAAAGAGAAAAATCAGAAAAATAGATGCTTGTACTTTTTATTGAAACTAATGCAAGAAATATTTGCTAACATCATCAGTGAAGTTTTTAATCAGGTTTTATACATCATAGGCCCTTACTGTTTTTTAAATGACGGATTAACCATCGACTGATTAAGAAATTTTGAAGAGAAATCATGTACTTTTTGGGACAAATTATCTCATATCTCTACCAAATTCTGTTAGATAAGACCCAAACTTTCAGGAATTCTTCATACATGCCTTACTGATATATTAATAATGTTGCATTATAATTGCAACAACCTCAAACGAGATATTAAATACTTTCAAGCATATGGTCAGACTCCGACTCGAAAATGATAAAATTTGCTGACTCAGCACTTTTGAGCCTGCTTTGCAAGGGTTCACAAAGTTTTTTTTACATGCCTTGGGGTCCCCTACAAGAATCTAAAGTCAAATTGAATCTAGGTGTTTTGGACACAAATGGGCTTGGCCGTAGCACTATATCAGAGATGCATACATTGCAAATAATCAACCTAAGCCCCCTTATCTGGTCGCGATCAACTCTCAATGCTGATGACCTATAAACCTTATTATAACGTTCCTATGATGATGTATAGTGTAAACTGTTCACAAGACAGCGGGCCAATATAACTTTTAAAAAGCCCGCGCCCGCTAACTTTCTGATTGGTCAAGCGCTGGGACTACGTCATACATTAGGCCTAATTGACTCGTACATTCGTAAGATATAAACATGGGAATAAATCATCATTTCCGATCCATTGCTAGTCAAGAAACTCTCTAGTCAAGTACTCTCTGACCAGACTTGATCATCATAGGTATGTTATAAATCGTTTATGTCACTACAGTTGCACATATGCCCTCGGTTCTCAGTGATCAATGTCCCTCCCAAGGTCGGGCCATATATCACTGAAACCCTCGGGCATATATGCAACGATAGTGACATAACCTCTAATTATAGAAAAAGTGACTGCCATTGAGGGAATTACACCCCAGTCACATTTCCTACGGCGACCTTGCGGTCTATCATTTCTGCGGCCAGTAACATTTCTACGCTCGCCGTGGAATTTCTGCGCTCTCATACTTTTGCAGTCACATTTCCCACGGCAGCCGCACGGTGAATTTTAAATTTCTGTTGATAAATAATACTTTTTTCATTTTATTTACATCGGGACAATTTATAAATGTTATTCATAGTGCTAGGATGTAATATCAAATGAAAAGTGATCGTGAAACATTGACAATTAAAGGGGCAACAAGGCCTGTAGAGAGAAAATAGGAAAATTTTAACTTTTTATGAGCTATCAAGGCAACATTTGGCTTAACATCTTCTTTGACAGACCTATTTTCTTAAAATGTATGTATAAACTATCAATTTCAGCATTAAGAAGTGTAAATTCAGTTCAAAGCTTCAAAAAGGGGAAATCCGCTTTTATATTTTTAAGATCCACCATGTTTTAAGAGGAATATATGCTGAAATATTGTTTATCTAGTGGTTTTTTTTGTGGATAATAAAAATAGATGTTAGTCTTGATGAAATATCCAAACTTAAATATATTTTGACACTGGTCCATGATCGTTGAATGGCCCCTCTGCACTAATTGTTGCACCTTTAATGATTCAATCTTGTTGAGCCAGTTGATTTCTACGGAGACCTAAGAAATGAACAAATATTATAACTCCGAGTTATACTTTCTACGGCGACCCTGCGGCCTGTAAAAAACTGGATACGCCGAACGGAGGCCGTAAGTTTTCCTACGCTCGCCGCAGAAATACACTGATTTAATTGATCTGCGGTCGACGCACGGCCTCCGTACGACAAATGTGACTGGGGTTAGTGCAAAATACTTTTCCGAGGGAATATCCTGTCCTCTGACATGTTCCCGAGGCTGCCGGCTGGCAGTCACTTTTTGTTTTATTATATACCCCATATGTACTCTGTAAACAAAAACAAAATAAGAAGTCTTTTAATTTCAACATTTAATGCTTTACGAGGTCTTATTGGCAGTAAAAGGCATTTTGTCATTCAACTCTTTTAATCCCAGCTAGCAGGGAAGATAAAACATACTAATGACTGGTCACATGACCTAACCGGTGATTAGTACATTTCATTTTCCTGTCAGAAGGAATTTATGACTTTCAGGGAAATTAGTTAATGTATTTCATATCATGTGACCACGAATAAGCCAATGAACATCTAGAATGCATATGGGGTATATAATAAAATATATCACATCACAAATCATTACCGATCGCTGTTGACAAATCGAGTTAATACTCGGACACAATATGCACTTAGATCTGCAAACTCGTTTGGGCTGGTAAAATTTAATACGAGTTACTACAAAAATGCATTTATACCTTCAACAGTGCGTGCTTGGAACGACTTGCCTAAACGAGATAAAAGATGAAATCAACTTTACGAAATGCAAACTTGAACTATCCAAGTATATTTACGGAGAACTTAAAGGAAAGTATCTTTTGAAATTATATAACATCGGAGATCGATTCTCAAATATCCAACGAGCACGTATGAGACTCGGCAACACCCTTCTAAATTCCTAGTTGTTTAAATTGGAGAAGGTAAATTCTCCTAACTGCTCGTGTGGAATCCAAAATGAAACCACCTTTCACTAGCTACCTGCTGATATGTCCAAACTTTACAGATCAACGAAACGATATGCTTTATACATTAAATGATGTATGTGCTGACAATCCTGATATAAACCGCAACTCTCAAAATGTTATCAAAGACACAATTATACTCTTAGGGAAGAAATCTTTAACAATTGGCCATAACGAACAATTGATTTTGACACTACACAAGTTCATAAAAAGTACAAAGATATTTTAATATTTTTGTCTAACTTGAGATAAATTGATTCGTAATATGTTTGTTTTTTCTTTATTGTAACTGCATGTATTTAAATTCTGTACTTATATTTGTATATTTCATCGAGGTTTATTGTACTCTGATTATATACTTCATAGAAATTTATAATGTTTCTAATTTAGGATGGATAAAGATATGCGTTGCAGCTTTATACATATTTTATACTTGTGACGTAATTGTTGGTTCTTCTGAGACACCGATGACTAAGTACATGTTCGTTTATAACAGACACAAAGTAGTCATTGATTCGATAAACAAATACAGTTTTGCGCAAGTGGAAAAACATCTTCGTTATCTGCAGAAAGAACTAACATTTATCACGAATGGAGGTGGATTTACTAGAACATTGAAAAGAAAGTTGGACGCAATAATTAAGAATATTAAAAAAAATCTTAAATTAATAAAGACACCAAGTGATCAATTTCTGAAGGGATTGAATGACATTAAAGTGCAAAATGGTGCATTGAATGATGCCATAAAAAATCTCATATTCAGTTGGAAATACTATGGGTACAATGACCAACTTAAAGCTTTGAACGATATTTCTAAAAAGCATAGCAGAGAACTTGGGTCAAAAGTTGTACAACGCATGCTAACACAGCAAACGAAATTAAACAAGGGTTTGAAGTCAAAGAAACTAAAAATAAGTAGTTTTCCAACGGAAAAGTACTTCGAAGGTGAATTACTAGGAGGCAAAAGATTTCAAGATTGCGGAACAACAGGTTACATTTCTTTATATTTATTAAATATTTGATAAATAGAGAGTCCGATAATTCATAAAGAAAGTAAGCAAATTCTGACTGGTGATAAAGATATCGGAGGGCATATTTACCGAACACACATTCAGAACTTAACTTAATGGTTCACATTTAGAGCCATCTTGAAAGTTTAAGGAGATCTGAATTGCCGTCATATTTATGTTTATGCAATACGTTGATCAAACGTTTGTCTAATGAGAAAATGGATTATAATCTAAAGATGGTATTAATAATTCGGTTGGCTGTACCATACTTCTGAAACGTATGTCCCAATACAAATGTGAAAACTCGATATATGATCATTCGTTTCAGATTTTTCTTTCAAATTAATATATTTTAACACATAAATATTCTTTCCTATTTAAAGGTAGTATCCCTATTGTCGCCCCGGCCAATGGTTTGATTACGTTCCAAGACGAATGTAACTCAACTATCAAAGTAAATTGTGACTGTGGATTTCTGCTCAGCGGAGTTGCAGAATTTGAACGAGCGAATTATACTGAAAATATTGCATTCTGCCAACGTAAGTAGATTCTAGAATATAAAATACCCAGATGATAATAATATTGATAATTATTAGTGCTAACAAAATTTGAATTGAATCCTTGATAAAATTATGAGTAAGATTCAAAATTTGAATAAACCTCATAAAATCTAATTATAGGTTGAGAATCATGGTGCAATCGGTTTAGTTTACAATTACTTAACTTTTGGTTATTCTGATTTGGCGAATTTTCTGATTTTTCACATTTGACGGCTATAAAATTTTTATTAAATTGAGTCCAATTTTTTATTTATTTCAGAATCAGACCACCTTCAGTAGTTCACGATCCGCGCGAGCACTATTTGATTTTAATAAGCCGCCATGTCAGCAATATTTGCTTCCCTCAAATTGACGAATTCCATGTCTATTCACGAAAAGAATAATATCCCGGGATTTTTCTTGAAATTATGGGACGATTTTAGTTTTATTAATCATGCTTGTGTCAAAACCAAGGTAACAGTAAAATTATGTAATTTGTAACCTTTTTTCCTTGCAGCAAAAGCTATAGGATATTGGCCTCTTAACAAAAAGGATGAAGGAATCAACTTCGCTGGTGTAATATCAGAGAACTGTGTGAGGGGAAGAGAAAAGGGACCAATAAAGGTAGCAGATGCAGTTTTGGGCAATGACGCTAAATTTGTCAATGGTGTATCAGGAAAGGAGAATGAGGCTGTACAATTGGACCGATCCTATATAAGGTACATGTAGTTATATATTTAGTAAGATATTGTATCAAGGCTACATCTAGAAGTTTGTTTAATTCTCTTGAAAAATTGGTTCCTCTTATATACGTTCGGATCATTTTGATACAATGGTACAAGAAGTTTTGCCATTGGACATTTACGAATTTTGAAATCTGTTAAAGCATATCTAACAACGGATATCTTACGCCTACAAGGGACTTCACGTGGATGTTCTATGTGAAGCTCGACAAAACTAGTGAACCATTCATACCATTACTGCAATACTCGAAAGTGAGAATGGGAGAAATGTGGATTGGAGTGAATAAGAATGATGGAATCGAAGCAGGACTCATTGGAAATAATGTTATTACTGTCGAGAGCGATGCTGCATTAGAGTCAAATACATGGTCATACATTGCCGTCTCCTATAAACAAAACGATATAGAACAAAGTGCAACTCTGCAGCTCTACGTATTTAATGCCTCAAACCTCCGATCGTTTAATCAAAGAAAAGTGACATTACATCCAATAGGAAGAATTGGGACAAAGGTCACTGATAGCACGTCTAATGTGTTTATTGGAAAAGATGCATCTACACCAAGATGTTTTGCTTGTCTGAAGTTTTGCGCAGCTGCGTTATCTGAAGGCCAAATAGCAAGGGCAGAGGCGGGATGTAGACAAGGTATGTACTGTGTACTACATTCATGCATTTTTCCTACAAGCTCAACGATGATGGCAAAATTATAACACAATACAAGGCGATAGGTTATTTTCATGAATATATTAAACAATATAAAGTATACAGTACAGATGACATTTACTATATAATGCAGTATACACATTGCCTTTTTAGATATCCTAATTGGAAAATGGCCGTTAAACGATGAGAATATACTAGATGCCAGTAATAACAGCAATCATCTCATGGCCACCGGTCCTTACACACCATTGGTGGACGGACCAAAACAAAGCCGTGCAATATCGGTCCGCGCCCCAGAGCTTAAATTTCATCTCGAAGATGTCAAAATTCCAAATACATTTACTTGGTTAGGAGCTTTCTATATCGAAGAAATGATTGAACAAACATGCGCTTTGATTGACTTCTCAGAAAAAAATGATCATAAGTACTATCATAGATTTCATATTTGGATTGATAAAGACAGCAACAATGGTCAGATTAAAATTATGGCCGGCCTACAAAAACCGACACTAAAAAACACGGTAAAGAGTGAAAGAATATTCTTAAAACAATGGTACCACGTTGCCTTTACATATATTGGCACAACGGGTTATGCCACGCTCTATCTTAAGGAAGAAGATAGCAATGACACGGGCTTGAAGAGCTATTCTGCTATGATAGGAAAAGACCAAATAGAAATGACTGCAACTGGAACAATAGGTGGCAGTGTGATAAGGGAAATGCCGATGAGGGGGCGAATTACATGTATAGCATTATATTCCGATAGTCTTACAGAAGCAGAAATTAATAGACTAACCAGGAGATGTCTGGGTGGTAAGATTAAAATCAAATTGATATAACCACAACCTGCCCGCTATGTCATTCTTTGTCAACGCAATGCATATTAAGAATAATGCTTCATTTAACATTATGATTAAATATCCTGCTCCAATATTTATCCCTTTAGTTTTTGTGTGACACAGATTGGCCGAATTGGTCTGATTGGGGACATTTTAGCGATTGCCATGCATCTGAATGTAGGCCATTGATCCGGAGTAGAATGTGTATGGACAAGGATGGTTCAGTCCTCGATGACAGTAGGTGTCCAGGGGAAGGCATTGACTTTGACCGAGAACCAGCTTCGTGCGAACTATGCACAGGTTAGTGTAACACTGGAATTTGAAAAATGATCTGTAAAATTCTGCTTACTCGCATTGGTGATTATCAGGTGAAATAACGGTTATCTTTATTTTCAGGTGAAAAGATTGCAGGAGGGAGTAAAGTCAGAACAGGAAACTTTTCATGGATCGTTTCACTTTCGGGCTCCGAAGGGCATTTTTGTGGTGCAGCTATATTGTCAGCATCATGGATCTTAAGCGCAGCTCATTGTATCTGTCCAGAATCACCAAAAGACGTTTGCTGTGTCGATTCAACTAGTGAAGGGTAAGGCTGTCATGAAATGTAAAAGATTTCTCCCTTAACAATTAACCCATTTTATGCATGTTTGGATGATAAGCCAAATGGGTCTGGGTGCTTCTGTATGTGTTTATTCAGGCTTTCGCATTGTCTTGTACTATATTGATCAGCCACAGAATCAATTATGGGCGTTAATCCTTTAGTTCTGTTAATATACTGCATATCGTGTTTACCTTTTCAAACGCAACACACAAACACATCATACAAAACATACAGCCAAAATGTATATCATGTTTCCATTATTATATCCAGCTGCAAAAACCTAACAAGTACGTGGAAAGTAACAGCAGGTAAACTAAAACTATCTGCAAAAAGGGGTGGACAAACAAGAACAATAAAAGCCGTTTATGTTCACAAAAACTATAGTACACTTGGTCACAAGCAGGATCATGACGTCGCACTTATCAACCTCAATGCAGATCTAGATTTTAAAGATTCATTGGTTCAGCCTGCTGTAATTACTGGAAAATGTGAAACTTATAACACCGACGAAGACATGTGCAGTGAGACACACGCAAAAAGTGTACTACGTCAGTACTGCAGAATAGCAGGATGGGGATATACAGGTATAGCTAACTTAGATTTAATATGACAGCCATTGTCGTTATGTTTTAACATCGTCACTGGTATCACTTTAAAGTGCATATTATACGATGTATTGTTTGTGTCTGAGACCATTATTTTGTTAACCCCCTTTTGTCTTATTTTACTTATCTGCATTGTGTTTTATATGTATAATGTGATTTGTTATATGTATTGCTGCAGTGGAATCTTTCCATTGTGCCACTATTTCAAAAGTGTTTGGCAAATAAATAAATAAATAAAATAAATGCCTCTTTGTAGTACGCAATACTTACACAATGCAACTATATTTCAACCACTTTTTGCATCATTTCTTAGATTCATATCCCGTTGTTTTACTTGACCAAACAGAGGCCCTTTCCATGTCCAGAAATTTATATCCATTGTATCGACCTTAAATCTTGATTTGGGGCTGATATTGGAAAGGTACAATAAAATCAACAGTACTATTGTGATTCGGTGAACCATACAATATAAACAATAGATTTTGATTCGAAAAAGAAAGATGATAAAAAATGTTGTTGATTAAGCTTTAGTTGTTAAAATCGGTGTTGATCTATTCCATGTATATGAACATCTGTGTATTAAATGATTGCAACAGGGAGAGCACAGAAACTAGCAGACGTGCTACAATCGTTATCTTTACCAAATGGGGTTGACACGGATGATGAAAATAGACCGTACTATCTAAGAAGCAAAGCCCCATCTAGGTCTACGGCATGCAAGGTATATCTTATTCATTTATTTTTATTTGGAGGACTTATCTTAAAAGAAGAATCAACTATATAAGCCTAGCAGGGGATTTATAAATTGTAACCAAGATGTAGTATGTGGTCATGTCCTTGTTTGTGTGTCGGTTGAAAGAATTTCAAATATGTCCAATCAATTCAAAATGGCTGCCATTTTTCATAAAAATCTTCCAATCTTTGATGCCTCAAACACAGGTTGTTGAATTCGTAATTCCAGTTCAAATCTTATTAGGCTAATGGCCAAGCACAAGGTTAAGAATGGTAAAATTTTGGGGAAATGTTATATTTTGATCGTTACCTAAATACATTTATCAGATTCAGTCTAAATTTTGTGGGCTGATGTCTTCTAGAAATAAAACGTCTTTTAAAAGAGCATTCTCAGTCAAGTCGCTCGTTTCAGTTTTTAAAATATCTGCTTGAGTCAAAATGGCCACCATTTTTCATGAAAAATGTTATCTTAAATACATTGCATATCAGTTATCGGATTAGATCAAAGGACCTCTGCTCGAGAAGGAATTTCCAATTTGGCCACTCGATAAAAATGGCTGCTATTTTATATAAAAAGTAAGTATAATATTCGATATAATAACTCAAATTCCAGTTGACAATTTTGGCTTAAATTCTACATGCTGCTGCCCAATACTACTATCATGTTATGGTAAAAATGACGAGTGGTTTGATGAACTATGATTTATTCGATATTTGCTACTCTGAATTGAGTTGCTAGTTTTTTTCTAGTTTGAAACATTCACAATGTTTCCATGTGATATAAATGTATTGTCCCATATGGTTCTGGAATGTGCATATATTGTTTTTTTGTTTGGCGATTGGTAATAAAGGGGGGCATTTGACACTGTTCAATTGTTTATTTGTTAATTAAGAAATATAGACCGAAGAGCAGGGGTAATATCGTCGAATACACCCTTAGGGCTAGGCACAAGAGCTTTCGAACCCCTCACTCCCTTCGGTCGTTCGGGTTTGAGAAAACGTTTGTGCCTAGCCCTGCGGGGTGTATTCGACGATATTATCCCTGCTCTGAGGTCTATATTACGATTCGTATGTATTGACAATCAATCATAATAATTAAAGTAGAAGTTTATCATATCACAGTTATTTATTAAAAAAGCTACGGACGTAGTTCTGTTTACCAGCTAGTTTTACTAGTTTCGTAGCATTAACTGAACACGTTGACTGACCAAAATTATACTGGTAAAAGTTACGGGCGTAGTTCTGTTAACCAGCTAATTTTTTTTACTAAATAGTTTCGTAGCATTTACTGAACACGTTGACCGACTACGATTATACTGCTTCTCAGGGTGATAGTGGTGGACCATTGCTATGTGACCCAGATAGTAAGCATTTGAGTAATACTACTCGGTTGATGGGCATCATGAGTTATATTGATCCTGTAAGTTGTGGACATGACCAAGATATAAGTACATATCACAATTACGTACCTTACTTTCTACCATGGATCGTTGGTAAGGTAAAAGGTAAGTTGATCAAGGCTGCTGGCTCATCCTTCAAGATCGGGGACTTCACTGCTCTCATGCAGCTGATATAATGTAGCTGGTGTAATATAATGTAATGTTATGCAATGCAATGCAATGTAATGTAATGCAAATTGGGCTATGGATGTGCTGGCTATAAAATAACTCATTTTAATTGGGAGCTTCACTATGTCAGTCATGACAATGAAGTTTATACTGATTATCTAATAATTTATTAACATACATTTTGAATGATTTCTTTGCGATCCGGCATAGCATCTAAGCATTTTTCCCTCGAAATTTTCAAATGACTTTGCACAGTGTACCATCTTAGAATTTTGGAAAGATTATATATATATATTTTATATTAAAGATTTAGATAGTTTCATAGGAGATTACAGTTCGAGGTGTGTTCAAAATGTTTTGTTATTTGTAGAATATGACTCTTGGAATTACGGATCATGTGTGTGTAACAATGACAAAACAAAGGGAACGCAACAGAACCATAGGTCTTGCCATATACCACTTAATATTGATGATCCAAAAGATACTTACCGGGTCTGCGGAAAGAAAGAAACTGTTGATTGCTCAGGTGAAGTTGCACTCACCATTGACATATACCTTTATGTTCTTCAAACATGTACTTTGAAATCACATTTTTAATCGTTTTATATTGATTTATAGACAAATGTAATGGTGGCCCTATTGTCACCAATACCTGCACACAGAAAGAATTTAATAACAATTCTTTGGAAGTGATAAAACGTCTAGACAATTTAAGAGTTGGATTGGATGATGTTGCAGCTAATATAACCAGAATGGCCAGGATCCAATCTGACACGAGCGCTATTATTGGGGACATCGTATTTTCCATTAACGGTAACAACGACGGTTTTGTATTTCTTAATTCAAATTACTACAATTATATACCGACTACATGTTAATAGTACAGCCATCCAATCAAATGTGGTCCTCTAATTTGGGATAACTGTCTCGACTATTGTGGGATTTGTAAGGGATCGTTCAAATCGTTCAAAATGCAACTCACTACTTGCTTCAGGATATGATCTTGGTAGTAAATGCTCTAGCAATGACGAATGTTGCGTGGATAACTCCAGGTGCTTGGGAAACAGTTGCACATGTATGGTCGGGTTTATCGAGGTGGCATCTGAATGCAAAGCCAAAACGGGTGAGTTTTTATTCCAACTCTTTTCGGTCAGTGCAAAAACCCAAATTCAGTTAAGGATGTTAGTAATACTATCATGGGCGTTGAAAGCCCATGGTACTATCTAGTAATATAGAAATATAGAATCAAAGCTTTAAATTGGTTCATTTACTTAAAATATTGTATCAAGTTCAAGTCATGCGGAATGTGTCTGAATCGTTTCATTAGACCTACCCTACAAAGTGAACTTTGTGAAAATAAGTTATGAACCAAACACAGGCAGATGACATTTCTATTTCCAGGATGATAGATATTCGTAATGATGATGTGAATGAAATGGGTGATGGTAAACATATATTCTGATTCTAGATTTATTTGTAAGAACATGATCAAAACCTGAACTAGCAGAAGCAATTCGACAATTAAGCATGACATAAGTTTACATTGTAAATATACACCATTGTTCATAATTATGGAGTATTTAGAAAACCATTGATTTAAAATATTTCAGTGTATCCTAAAATTTGGATTAAAGGGGTATAGCATTCCAGGCATTCGTTAAGGACAGTAACCTCATCGATGATAAATGAAAAGTTCCAGAAAATTATAAATTTAAAAAAATTATTCCATATCTGATCAACTGTGTATTTACTCTATAAACCTGAATCGAAATCATTATGTTAGCGTAATATGGATGGAAACAATAATAAAGATATTGAACAATGCATTTGGAATTTTGTTGTTTCTATATTGTTTTTTTTGTATCTAAAGTACATCGACAGCCCCCCCCCCCCTCTGTCCCCAATGCTTATCATACCGACGTCTTAACACATATTTTGGAATCGTGCTTACATTTTATAACTGACTAATTTTGACATACCCTTTCTGAATGAGTAGCATCGGTATTTGACTTCACAGTTGACCTTTGATCTCATAAATAAAAAATGAATTACTTCAATACATAACAAATTATTTTCACAATTAAAAGTTATACTGTATGCATGTTAAAACTCAATAATGTTTGGACAAACTCACTCATAGAGTATATTGTACATATTATATCATTCTATTTCGATAATTTGTCAGCCGAAAGTTCACATTTGATAGCGTGTTTAAACCTGGTTTTGTTTAAATCTTAATTATGAACTGATTTGAAATTTATGACCTACACATAAGCAATCTACTTTATAATGTGGTCCGAAAAACTTCCCGACGCCAAAGGGTCTAGTGCACTCTCCATTATGATTTCCCCATGAACAAAATGAATCATTTTTAGGTGCAACATAAAGAATACAATGTCACAAAATATTTTGGAAAATATTTAAGCACTTGAACCCACATGGGCTGAGGTTGAGGTCATTAAGTTCAGCAAGGGTGTATTGATTGACTTGACATTGGATGTGCTCCATTTACTTGCAATCGATTCAGGTCATACTTCAAATGAAAAGATTATCATTATTTCATCATTTTTTTCCCTGAAAAATGGCTATAGAAAAATGCTTCAAAGGCAATTTTTACACTTATGAAATGCCACACAACTTTGTAAATCAAAAGATTATACTGTTATGTTTCATTTATTAATAACATATTTGGATAAGATGTAAGGATGTGTAGGATGCAAATGGATTTTGACAGACACGAAAATACTTCCTGGTTTGAAATCTATGCCTCTACACTTCTTGATTAAATTATGACCCCAATAAGTGGCCCATACATCAAAACAGTGCTCAATATAGGTCAACGAGATACTAGTGTACATATAAATGTAATAATAAAAGCAGTATACTCCTTTTGAAAAATCAGATGGACAATTGTTTTTCAAAGGGAGATCATAATGGAGAGCGCACTACTTCCTTTATTAAGGGTAGTGTAATTTAGGTACTAGGTATGTTAGTTTTGTCAAAATTAATTGATGTGCTAAACTCAAATTCTTAAGTTTAAAAATGAAATATATACAGTGTGTCAAATAAGTCCCCCCCTCTCTACGTCCAAAACCAAAATATATGGTTGAACCAATGGAAACATCGTCCAAAGTTATGTTGACTTGCATATATCTGACACCCGTCAATCAATGTCAATGTGTATGGTTTTCTTTGAAAATGTTCTAGGTCGGGGAGATTCCCCATAGACCCCATGTTGTAAAACCACAAAAAATGAAATATCTTTTCTTGTGTTGGGCAGATAATATTTTCTTTACTGGACATATTTTAATTTGTATAATTATCAGATACATAAGCACGGTGTCCAACCCAAACGCTCTTACATGCACGACGGAGCGTTTCATCACTGAAACTAAACAAAGAAACGCTCCGGAGTAGGACAACTGGTGGGCGGGAATGATGAGCCGTCTGACGATTTCCCCAATAATGGGAATAAGAGGTATGAGTTACTTATTTCGAGTATACCATTCGATGGGTGTGACATTTATGTTGTACTTGTCTGGCGGTTCGTCATTCTACCGGTCAAAACCCCCTTTGTCGAGACATGTGATTAGTTGAGCCTAGATTAGAGCACCAATGTATATTTTGTTCAAATTTCAATGCTTCAACGCACTAAACATTATCGTAATAGTGATTTGATGACCGAAAATCCATTCTTAGAAATGATGACATTCTCATATTCAAGAAACGCTCCGATCTGGTTAACACAGTGAACTGGAAACGCTCCGGTAGTCTAGATCAGTTTAGGAAATATATAGCTTGACTTTCCTTTTCAGGAAGAGAAAGAAAAGATCTATTATACCCCTTGGCATCAAAAGAAGAAAGATTAATTCACATATAAACTTTTCGTTTTTTTCAATAGATTTATGTTTAAGCACACATGTAGACATGTAGACATCATCTAATGTAGGCTTAAGTCAGCTAGTTGCAAGTTCAGCACCACCAGGTTCGGACGTTTCAATTTGCCTAACAAGTACAACACGTTTTTGAGAGATAGATTCGATTCCGAACACTTCTCTAATAATCTGAAAATTATATCAAAACAAATTGGTAAGAGCGTTTCTAAAATTGTGTCCTAAATCGACGGAGCGTTTCGAGGAAAACGAGATTTCCCGAGAACAAGTAATGGATTTGGACTGGGATTTTAGGAAATGAGAATATACGAGTTTGTGATCTACTACTTTGACAGAAAGATTGACGTTTTCATGTAAATACTAGTTTAAATGATCGTAATTTGTGGTCAATTCGTCAACTTCAGATTCGTTCGATCTACACTACGGAGCTTTGATCAAGCAAATAAAAGTTTACCACCAGAAGTTGAATAAATAAGATCTTTGCTCACGGTATTGTACATCGAGTGGTACATAATATGTCACCATAACGTATGATATGTAAGAGAAACGAGTGAAACAATACTTACGGTCATAGTGGAATCTTCATTAGCCGCCATTTTATTTTGCTCCGGAGCGTTTCCGCGTAAATGAAACGCTCCGTCGTGCATGTAAGAGCGTTTGGGTTGGACACCGTGATTAGGGTAATATGAGAAGTGAACCACTAAAACTGATGAATATTCTAGTGTAAGGGAATTTTGTAATACCCTGCCATGTTATTTCCCCCGAATCAGCCACCTGGTAGCGAAACTGGTCACTACCTACTCGCATCTGAGTAATTGACCTAAGGATATGACAATTTGGTATATGTAGCAGGATTTTAAAAATCCGGCGTCATAAAAGGAACACATGTGTATATGGTAACCCAATTTAGTCCATGGTATGACTTCCGAATATGAAGGATCCGTAGCACACAGTGCAGCAACATTTGAAACAATATTTATGGAGGTGCATATGTCTCGATTATTTTAAAATACCATTTACTGAAAAAACTTCCGGCTTTCAGGTCGAAAAATGTATTTCATCACAAGGGGTCAAAAAACGTAAATATTTTGATTCGAACTTTTATATGTTTTATAAGACACAGACCGTTTTTCTAGCATACGAACAAAGATAAGATTATGATAATGTGCAAATATACTATATTTTTTACTGTAGATGTCCGTGTTTAAAGAGTGTAATTACGCAAGTGTGTTTTACAGGTTTTGTTTGATTTTTCAAATATGAGCCAAGCAGATTCAACAAAATTGTGTGAAATATTTAGGTAATTTATACTTGGGAATATATTAGTTATCTTACTATTTAAAACATTTTATTACCAGAATTTTTACACATAATCGGAAGGGGTCAAACAACAAATTATTGTTCATGTTTTATAAAACGTAATACAATAACAAATAGGTAAGATTTATATCTAATTAAATGTTACAGAGGTATTGGAATGTCCATATATAGTTAGGCTGAATCACTTGAAAAACCCTCCCAATAATTCTTTTTATGATAGAAGCACCAAAATTGGTACAAGTGTAGCTGATTGTAATTGAAAAAAATGGCTCGAGGCAGCAAGTGATCCGGAGCCTCGTTTTGGAAAAAATTCAAAATGGCCGCCAGTCTGTTTGTGATTTTGCCGATTTCTATTAAAATCTCAAAATCCTCTAACATATTAATGAAAACTGCATAGAAACCTCAAGAAGTGGCTTTGAAATGAATCCTTTTTGATTAACTGACATTTAACTTGAGTTTCAAATGTAAAACGGCGTAAAACAAGGTTCAGTATTATGACCTGTACTATTAAGTTCATAAATAACATATATTGTTATTCATCAAAAATTGTTAACCAAAGACTGAGTACTTACATAATATTGGATAATAAGATATCTTACTTCTATTGAACAACTTGTATAAGAGAATATATTCAGCCACATATCCAAAATAAGGGGGTTATTGTTACAGTACCAGTTAGATGGTGCTACAATGCGAAAATTTCAATGATGGGGCAATTTATGTTTGATCAATTGTCACAATTTATGTTTGATAAATTGTCTATGTTTTACATTTTTGATCACCATCTTTCTCAAATCTCAAATATTTTGTCCTTTATTGTTACTCTCACTAATCAGTGCAAAGCCCACTGTACTTACAAAGGTCTGTGCATTTTGCCCAGCCAGCTTTTTTACATGAACAATACTAAGGACGACACCCCTTGCTGCATTGACACTTTATGAGTTCTCTGCATGCTATTGACGTTTGCTGAAGAGTAGACCAAAAAGTGGAATCACGTGATCACCATCATCCTCCTCCGAGCCAAACTTAAAATAATCCTGGACACCACTTGGGCGAGGATCCAGTATTTGGCCTCAAACAATCCCTCCTGTGAAGGCCGATCTCCTAATATGCTGCTCCAAAGTTGCCTTAGTCGGAGGTATCTTGTCAATCTGTCTTCCCTTCTTGGTGAAAAGATATTTTCTGGTTGAGTTACTGCTGGCTATCATCAAGTTTTATTATGGTTGTTTCTTTTTTGACCTTACCGCTGGATATCATCAAATTTTAGAAAGATAATGACAACGATTTTTTTCAAATATTCATGAATTCGACCAAGTCTTATTGGTTGTTTTATAAGCAACTGAGCTATATCTAACTACGAGAAATAGAATTTTAGCTGTAGTCCCAATTAGTCAAGGAAGAGCAATAGGCCCTCCTTTATCGATCATGTTCACCGCAAAATAAAAGTCCATATCTTAAAACGTATTGAGACATATTTTGTGAAAAACTAGCATAATTTAAGCATTTGTCATTCTAATACAAAAGTGATTCATTTGTAGCATTTATTGTATCAATACCTGAGAAACCATACAAAAGGCCGATACACTGATTACATAATTTTTTGGTATTGATAAGAAAAATAACCTCAAACTTATAGCTTAGAAAACTAAATCATATATGTAAAATCATTTTGTATTATTTTCTGTTGCGCTGTGTACTCCAAATTGTGAAAAATTGGGATTTAATTTTTTGGTAATTTTTTGACCTCTGTTAATGGAAGGCATAATTCAGCCTAAAAGCCGGAAGTATATGGAACGGTAATAATAAAAATTATTAGCGAACATATGTAGCTATGTTAATATTAGGCCAAATATCGCTGCGCTATTAGACGTCTTAGAGATTTCATACCATGGACTAATTTGTGAATATGGTTGGATGTGTAGCAAAGAGGGGTTATGAAAAGTGGTAAAAACTTTATTGTAAGAATTGAATTGTGAAAAAGATTAACTTTTTTTGACATAATTTTACAGTTGTAAAGGGGTACACTATTATTAAAGACATCGTGAAAATATAGGTAACCGTTCTTCCAAATACTCGAGATTTAGTGAGTTAATTTAACTTTGTATGATCTTTCAAACGGCATATCAAACTAAGTACCATCTTTCAACTGTTTTGCTGTAGAGGGTGGGGGACATATTTGACATCTTATTTATACAGGATGGGCCAAAAAACGTCTCTATCTTTTATTTCGAAATTTTTTTGAAAATGCATAAATATTCGCAGAAATCTAGATTTCCCTGGAGACCCCTAGTGTCTGTTTATGTGTATTATTCGAAAACCCCTAGAGGTTCATTAACCCCATTTTAGGAACAATTGTAAAATTGATTCTTGCATATCCTGCAACATTTTCATTAAAATCCTTGCAATTCAAAAAAGGTATATCTAAATATTTGAATATGGACGTTTTTGGCCCACCGTGTATATTATATAAAACAGAATGCATGAAGTCTATAAGTAAAATCAAAATTCTCATTTTCGACAATGACAATTTAACGTGCAGGATGGCAAACCATTTACAGTAGACTTACACTATGTACACTTTATAACTAGATTCTTAGCCTCTCTGTATTCTTTCTTCACGCATTGGAATTAAATTACACATTTCGTATTTCATGACAGAAATATGTGTTTTATTACACAACAATTTTATATTACACGGTATCCATCATGTGATGACATTATCATCTGTAGCATCATGCTTTTCTCCTTTTGTCAAGTTTGTGTTATTCGGGAGGACAATAGTTCCCTCTTGTACAACTGTGTCAGCTTGAGTTGCCTCAACCACGTCTTGTTTTACTCCATCCGTTGTCTTTTGCAATGTTTTATCACCAAGTGTTATTTTCTGTGATGTTATATAGGTGTCGACACGAGACCCTTTCTGTCGGGATGACCGTGTTGGTCTTTGTTTGGCAATAGAGGGCAGCACCAGTGGTGCTAACTGGTCCGCTTTTGGTTGTGTATAATGATCCAGTTGAATAGGACCGTTGATTCTTTGAGATGATATGAGTTGTTTTCGTCCATATACATCCACTGGTCTAACTCCCTTAGAGAATTTGATACGTGATGATTGTGGGATAAATGAATAGCTGCGGAGATTCGATCTCCTTGATGGGAGCGAGTTTTCCGGTTCTGGTTTTGTTTTTGGGGCTTTATAAACAGTCCGCGTTGGGAAAAACGTTTTACTTTTCTCGAAATTAGGTCTTGGAGTGGCGTTTGGCGATTCAGCTTTTTCACTCTCAGAGTCTGAATCTAGTCTGTGTTTCTGGATTGTGTGAGTAGTACTGTAGAATGCTGTGTTTTTCTCAATCCGGGGCACCGAATGAGGTTCATATCGACGAGTAATGGATCCGGACAGATCTTTTATTTCTTGTTCTCGACACCGTTGTGCCATACTTGTAAGCATTTTTTGTTGCGCTCCCAATCGCCTTTTTGTGAAACTCTCAGATAACTCCATAATTGCGTGCTTCTCTGGTGTTGGTAGACGCTCTGTTATCATACCACGTTGGTTGTAATGGGTTGCATTATGTACAAGTTCGAAATCGTCTGGTGGATTCTCTGGATCGTACACCCGAGGCTTCGGGATATCATCCACGGGTATTGTTATTGTAAACATTGTGATGTGAAAAAATGATTCTTAGTGAAGTTGTTTCCTCTTAATCATGTTGGTATTCTTAAATCCGTAGCATTTCAGGAACTTCCAGGTTATTGACAAGAAGAGTATTCTGTTGTGTTTGCAGAGACATCTTGATTGTTATATTCCAATGACTAATATATCAAACTAATGTATACATTTTTTGTTCTTGTCCGCAGACACATTGTAGTGTCTACATTATAAGTTCAGACTACAGGCTAGTTGCTAAGAAATCTCGGATTAAAGAAACTCCATATAATCGATGCCTTTCCAGATGAAGCCATTGTGCATTTATTACATGTTAAGTACTGATCCTATTTTATGATGAATGAATACATTTTAATACAATTTATTCTAATAGTTGATCTAAGATCTTAACCGAGAGTTGAAAGCGGGCCATTTATTATGAAATAGGCATTGATTGGGAAAAATCTAATATTTTGTGTTTACGAACAAGAAAATAAACGGAACAACCATAAACATTTTATTTAAGGATTTAAGCCCTGGACTCACGTGCATTGTTTGCTGAATCATACCATGAAGGTGTTGTTTCCAAACCTTTGCATGACCGCGCAGCGGGAATGCAAAGTTTAGGAAACAACGCCTGAGTGGAATGAAGCAGTTACAATGCATTGAGTCTTGGGCTTAAATTCTTTTCACACTATGCAAATGTTTCTACAAAATCATCCAAAAGGAACGAAATCACTAAAAGAACACATTTTCAATGAATTTTTTTGCAAGGGTCAAGTTGCCAAGTCATCAAATCCAATGTGAAAAGTCCATTCATCACCATGACAACTCATCATGAGAAATCATGGCCTTCTACTAGCTTCACACTAGTATATTTCTGGTTGAAGACAAAAAGATGTGATGAGTATCAGAATGATGACAACTGTTAAACTAGTGACCCTGCATGTGTTCTTGATATTTCACACACTGTTCTATATGTGACATACTGTGGAATCGGACACACCTTGCCTAGCTATGCGTGAATGCAAATTGTAGAGATATTTTGCAACTTATAGCATATCTATTATTCCCGTATATCGTACAACTTAAGTGTTTGATTACGTCATCATTTATTGCGCAGCTCTATTACGTCGCAAGTGTGATATTCTTTTAAATCGTAGTATATACGTAAGAATATCACACTTAAGGACGTATAAAGCTGCGCAATAAATGATGACGTAATCAAACGTTTCTTAAGTTATACATTATACGGGAATAATAAACATACTGTAAGTGCGGGGGAGGTAAGTGAGTTACGAAATGACTCCCAGAAATGACTACAGGTCTTTTCTTTGGATCCAATTGCAATTTTCCTTTTCTTAATACTCAATAGTGCTAGTAAATACTAAAATTGGGAGAAGATCTTATATATTTTGGAATGGATAAATGAGCTAAAATTTGTATTCTATTAATAAATATAAGGAGAACGAAATATGACTTGTTGTGTGAATTAAAAATGTACATTCTTTGGCATAGAGTCATTTCAATGTATTACTCTCTCATGTATTGATCTCTTCGATGTATGTACTTTTACGTGGCATTTAAACAATTAATTGATAAGTCAAGGACGTCTATCTCAATGACAAGGGCATCTCGATCTCAAGGTCGAGATGCCCTTGTCATTAAGATAAACATCCTTGGTACGTGCTATTAAGTCACAACACCCTTGTTTTTTTAAAGATTGACTTTCGAAAAAAAGTTATTGATCTTCAAATATTTGAATTTCCCTTCATTCTCGCGGCAAAAGTTAAGTTTTTGATCATCGATACTAACACATTTAACTAAACTTTGTTACCCAAAGGCAAGCAGTTGAAAAGTAAGAGTTACTTTATGAATGGGGTCCCCAGGTGCCTTCTAGATGGTAGAAAACATCATGAATGTAACGTCAGCTGAATTTTGTCAACAAAAGAGCGCGCGTGAACACAATATCAAAGATGTGTAAAATGAAGTGTCAAATTGAAAACAACCGAAATTCACTTACTAGATCACCATTTCTAGAAACGTTCGGTAATATTTGAAATAATTTTCATATAAAACATGGTTTGTTGACACGCCACGTGCATCATTTCCAGGAAATCTCTAGATCGTGGGTGTAAATGAATCAAGGGTATAGAGAGGGTAAGAAGAGCTCTATGCATCGAACGAACTGTTTTTTGAAACCATGCGTGGACTACTTTGAACGAAATAATGCTCAGATATAAAGAAAAATGGTAAAGTTGAAAAGCTATCAGACAGGTTAACATTATTAAATTTGTGGTGTTACATTAATTCATGAGTGTTTTCTACCATCTAGAAGGCACGTGAGGGTCCCATTCATAAAGTACTACTTATTTTTTTTCTAATTGTACTGCTTGCTCATGAGTCGATATGACCCGGTTCAATCACAACGTGGGTCAAACTTGGAAAATATGGGTCAAATTGTAAATAATAATTATGATAATTAAGCTCATTTTGGATAAATCTAGAGTACAAAAATAAATGTGCTGCAATTTTTAACGAATAATATTTTTCTCTTGTGGGGAGCTTTGATCCGTATGATATAATATATATTTAAGCTTTCATGTTTCTATAACTTCTCCGAAAATGTCTAATCTTTTAAACCACGGGCTTTCAACTTTCAACTCTAATTGAAAGCCCATGTTTAAACCAATGAAAGAGAGTGACATATAATTTGATCGGTTAGATATAGGTCAAAACTTGTTTCATTTGTGTTGTGCGAATTCCCGGGAAATGGGGTTGGTCTATCTGGGGATCAAAGTGCGTCAATGAAACGCAATAAGCTGTCTATTCTGCGTCAGACTTGATCAAATATGCATAAAAACTGTAAAACGACATTTACGCCAGCTCTGTGTGATTTCATGTAGATTTTATAAGGTTTTAGAAAAATTTGATATCATCAGGTTACGCCGTGGTGTTGTAATTTGGGGTGTAAAATTATTTTCAAATCTTTTTCAAATTAAAATAATTGATATTGATAGCATAGTAGCCGAGACAACACAAGTCCCAAGTCTGTATTTTTACTCTCATTTCTTCACTTTTAAGAGTTAAGTCACCACATTTTGCATGCATATTCCTTGCAGAAATCCTAACATAGAATTTTATTGGTTTGGATTATAACTTATTTGTTGAAAATAGAGAAACATTTGATTCTGATTGGTCTATAATCAAAACTTGCCATTTTCAGCGACAAATGCATTATTTTAACTTTATATAAAAAATCACTACTTTTGGTGTAATCATTCCAAATTGATCACATGTTTCCTTTTTCAGCAGAAGTGTAACTATTTTGGGATAATTGAGACATATCCGAGAAAAATGGTATGCAGAAACATGATATTTGAAATAAAACGGGGCCAAAAAGGACCCCTGAAGATGCCTGCATTATTTGAGATTTTTTGCGTGTTTTAATTTCCTGAAAAATGGATGGGGTAGGGGAGTGGCATACCCTTTGGGCTTATTCCAGTAACCATTTTAATCAAATGAATGATGACATATTTGGTATCATCTTAAAGCTTGTAATGTGTGCGTTAATTTGGTACCCGTATTATGACGTCAGATGCTATATTGTGATGTCACAGTAGAAACAAACGATCTTAAAGGGGAAATTAAGCACCAAAATGCCCCAAAATAATGGTGTGACTCCACCACTGTTTTGCCAATTCACTGCTTGCCACAATCAATGAATGCATTTCTCATTGAGGTACTCTTCCAATGCATGATCTGATGACTGGCAAAAAATATCTAGGATGATAGTTATTGTCAATAAGATTAGAGACACCATATTGTCTCTATCATTTATAACTTCGATTTTTATTAATAATGTCAAAATGTTGCATTTGTTACACAAAATGGATAATTCTGATAATGTACCAATACAAATCAAATGTTTCTCTATTTTTAACAAATAAATTATAATCGAAACCAATAAAATTCTATGTTAGGATTTCTTCAAGGAATATGCATGCAAAATATGATGACTTAACTCTTAAAAGTGAAGAAATGAGAGTAAAAATACAGACTTGGGACTTGTGTTGTCTCGGCTACTATATTAGCTGAAAAGAAATGTTTACCATGCTTTAATACACTCCCCTCCATAAGTTTGGCAACCTTTTTCCCCCATTAAACTGCGTGTTAAAGCCTCTTTACGTTTGAATTTTTATTTACTTAACCGGCGATGAAATAACTTATAATATTGATGGAAACGTAACTTGACTTTATTTCCAATACCTTCAAATTTTCTCATTTTTTCCTCAATTACAATAGGTCGAAAATTGATGATAAAGATGAATTTTTGAAAATCGTCATTCCCATGTAATCCAATGGGAAATGGAGGGTTCGGGGCAAATCAAAATATTTTTATCTAGAAAATTGAATTGTCTAACTTTTTTGAACACTAAGTGTTTAGTTTATTTGATGAATATTAAAGTTACAGCGCTTCAAAGTCATTTTTGAAAATAATGTTTCGCCTCCTGTGTTATTTCAATGGGAGAGGTTTTTTGAAAAACAATTTTGACTTTAAAGCCCTATAACTTTGTTGAACCTGAAGAAACATATCAATTTTTTATTAAATAAAGTTAGCAAATTCAATTGCCTGCCTAACTCGTATTTTTGCAAGGACTCGGATAGATTGATATTCTGTCATATGACTTGCGGCAAACCTACCATTTCCCTTTGGTTAACATGGGAATGTCGATTTTCAAAAATTCATCAAATTTATCATCAATTTTCGACCTATTGTAATTGAAGAAAAAAATTGAGAAAATTTGGAGGTATTGGAATTAAAGTCAAGTTACGTTTCCATCAATATTATAAGTTATTTCATCGCCGGTTAAGTAAATAAAAATTCAAACGTCAAATTGATATCCGATGATGTCAATTACTGCGTATTAATAGATGCGTGTGACAACAAAAATATTTGAAATAAGTTCACAATTTTTGAACAAACAGTTTGATTCTTTAAAACAATATTTTGAAATAAAATAGATTAGAATGTATGCTATCCGATGGTGTCAATTACTGCGTATTAATATATGCGTGTGACAACAAAAATATTTGAAATAAGTTTTCTGAACAAACAGATCGTTATAAGAATTTTTTGGTCTATATTCAAAAGAAAGTAAATAGAACCAGCTTATTTTCTTATCTTATGAAAAAATGGAGACGGTCACCGATCACCTCGATTTTTGCACCAAACGTGCTCTTTTATCTGCAGCTATAGCTACTACGATTACAGAAAAATTGTTCATGGCAGAAAAGTACCGGGGAAAAATCCAGAGGGGGTAGGGGGTCATCCGACCTGCCTGCATAATGAATCTTGGATAATGTTTTGTAACGGTTTTTTAAGTTCATTATTAAATATCACCCAAAATGGCTAAGGACGATTGAACATTATTTTGTATTTTTTTTTATATAAATAAGAAATAAATTCAATGATATTTAGTGGCCGATGAATATTACGTCCGAAATTTCAATACACACAAAACATACTTGATAATAAATACCGGAGCAATGCATAATAATATTTATTCTAAATCATAAAATCCATGTTGTTATATTTAATTCAATTCTTGCTTCAGTTTTTCACGATGCGGTTTAATCAAAATAAATATTTTCTCCGGCATCCTTGCGCGCCGTTGGCTAGCACATTTTGATTAATTAATTAATAATTATATTTTATAAATATATGAACATACTTACTTCTACACAGTTCATTGAATTCTTCAATTCACATATGTATTTGTAAATTCCAAGGAAGCTAAGGATCATTCATACGACTGAAATGCAAGCTTTATCAAAGCAAATAAAGTTGAATTATAAGATGTCGCAGACAGAAATTGGCCCCTCTGCATATTCTACAAGCAGGAGGTGTCAACTTGTGTCCGTTCTTCTAAGTTTCTCCAAAATTATAATTTACAAAAAACATTCACACGTTCATTCCGTAGTCGTATACTTGCACTATAAGTTGCATTATAAGTTTGATAAGTTGTTTGTACCTGGAGTGGGAAAGCAACGCTGTGTCACATCAAAAATGTATTTAAGGTAATCAAGTGCTTCGTTGCTAGTATATATTATTTTCAAAGAAATGTTTTGAGGGGGCTTACAACTGTTAAAATATATGAAGGAGGTGTGGACAATTCGGGTGTCAGAATTTCTGTTCCTTCCTTACAATAGAGTTTCAATTAAGAAGTACAGTAGCTTTTCAACTTTTTATGTACCACTACATGGTTCATCTTTTGTCAAACTTAGTTTTTGAATACCTTTTGAAAATTAAACATGTATCAATATAAATCCATGCTAAGTTTTACAATTAAAATTCAATAAAGTGAACTTAATAAGTTAATATCCGTTCATGTAAAATCGATTGGGTCTATTGATCAGTCTACATATCTTAGATTTGTCCCATTTGTATTTTAGAAGGTGTAAAAATTATTTTTTATGAATCAATGCAACTGCTTTGATGCATCATCTGATTTAAAAAAAATTACTCTGGGTTCAATTTTTGCCTAATTTGGAACAGTCGTAACGATTTGGTCGAAAGCAATTATTCGTCAAAAATAGACAATAGTTTTCTTGGAATCGCAAGTTACGATCGTACCAAAAATGAAACCCTGTATTGTAGCAAAAATGAGACAGTCGCTTTTTAGCATCATTTGAGAAATATTTGGGATTTTTTCTCTAAAAATCAGGGTTGTTTGGAAAAATCCTCTATTAATTATATATTAAGATGTAAATTAATTGTTTATCTTTTATCAATTTTTAATATCAAGTCAAGAATTTTTTGATTCTGTTGTATTGTACTTAATCTCATCAAATATCATCGTACTTGTATTCTTCTACTGTCATCATCGAACTCAGCTTTAATGGTGTTTTATAAGACTATAACTTTACGTTCATATTACCGACGAATAATTTAATAAGTTACTGATCCCACTGATTCCAGTTCTGGTTTAGATCGCGAGAAATCCCAATTTTTAGCGCTTATGATTTTTTAAGACTCCCGATTTTGAATGATAAAACTTTTTAAAGAACAAAATGGTCAAAGAGCTAGAATTGTCAGAGTAGCCCCCAGGTTTCCTAGTAAACTGAGCCCCCGGCCTTGGCAAAAGCTGGCTACAGGCCTGAAACTTGAATACCTTTAATGGCTTTAGATATGATTACTTGGCCTGACATCTTTAATTTCAATATGCACAGCCCAGCCATCACCATGACAACCGTTTAACTAGTGGCCCTGAGTTCATTATTGGTTATATAACGGAATGCAATTTCGTGAAATAGCGTGTTCTGGTTGGCTTTGAAACCTTGTCTAGCTATTTGTAAATTCGTTCTTACACAGTTTTAAGCCTAGAATTGTGTTGTCAAGTCTTAAAAATATCTATATTTTGGTTTGAAAGTAGAGTATTTCGTATTTGTACGGAATAAGGACCGACGAAGGGACCGGGTCAACATTTCAATGTCCGGGGGGGGGGGGGGGGTTAAAACTATCTAATTCGGTGACAGGCATGATTAAGTCAAAGAACTCTGAGCAATATGCAAATCGTTTGGTCCCTGTTTTGAACGTGTACCCTCATTGCTGAATCTTTTAATGTTGACGTGTTTATGTTAATTAGCTACTTCGTTCTTAAACAGTCTTCAATACGTCCATCTCGTTCGCAGTTCGTTCAGGTTGCACCACGTCGGTGTGCAACGTCGTAGAACGCTACGTTCATTCGTTCGCACTCAGTTTAAAACAAGTTTTGAAGAACGCAGCAGTGGCAACTTGTTTGGTGTGATAGCTATATTTTTTGCTAACTCGTTCATAAGCAGTGTTAAATACGTTCTTAATCAGTTTAAACCCGTTTGCAATTAGTTCTACCTCGTTCTCAATACGTCCTTAGACAGTTCAACTCGTTGTTAAAACGTCCCTGGTAGGATTGAAGTACGACGGTTCCGTTCCTAGTACGTCCAGCTCGTCGTTTGTACGTTGTCAATTGTTCTAATTGTAGAACGTATCGACCACGAGAACATTTTGAGCATGTTCTAAGTTCTAGACGACCTACCCGTTCGAGTACGTTCGATGAAGTTTGTAAATAGACCCCAAACGGTTCTAAGTACGTCCAGTCCGTTCTTACACAGTTGAAGCTCGTTTTCGAGAACGTAGTGAAAACTAGTTTGGTGTGATAGTAGGGTTAGAGAGCACTACGTTGGACTTGTTCTAGGGTATTGATGTTCCTTTGGGTATGGGGATTCCAGATTGAGGCACAATACTCAAGGTTGGGCCTAACGATTGAAGGCTTTTTCTTTGAGGGATGTGGGGCAACCTCGGAGGTTGCGACGCATAACTCGAAGTGCTCTGGTGGCTTTAGAGACCGCATTCCCAGTTTGTTCATTCCACCTGAGGAAGTCAGTAAAGATGGCCAAGTTATGGGTGCGAGGGTACTTCAGAGAGGATGGTGTTACAGAGTGTGTAGTCAGTGCGTTTGCGACTAATGCGGAGGATATGACACTTTTGGCATTCAGGCCAAGTTTTAACTGAGGAGGAGTTTTGGCTGGGTTTTTACCATGTAAGGGGGAGATTTTTGACAGTTTTGGCACCAGGGGGAATCGGCCAGTCCCACCGCCCCCCCCCCCCCCCCCTGGCTACCGGCCTGGCATATCTCTGCACAGTGCACACTTAGCTTGTAAAATTCAATTAGGTGGTGCTGCCATCTTTACAATGAAATTCTATGTTTTATATCTTTCTAAGTCGCTCGATAGAGGTCAGTGTTCTCAATGTTTACTTTTCAGCAGCAGAAGTTTGAAATCGTTGGAAGTCGAACTCCCGAACATAATCTAGGATTACATCTTTTTGACAGCTGCACAAACCTTCAACTAACTGCCTGTTGAGAGATAAGTCTACAAGGAACCTATCTTACAAGTCACAAAATGCCTTTGCAAGGATAAACACACGAAAACAAATGTAAACAATTTCGGAGTTTTCGAATTTTCAGATTTTTGCAACTTTTTAGCAACAATGGCAGAAGTTGTAGATTCAACAGAGATAACATTAACTGGATCAACAACTGATTTCTCATTTTCGGATACGCCCCCTGATACCCCTCCAGTTCCTCCAGACCCACATGAACCTGCAGTAAAACGTACAGATGATGCTCCTATTGCAGAAGATGAAGATACTGCAACCCTCGCTCTGTTGGACCCAAATGTGTTTCTTGCACCGGAGTGCCAAGTGGATCATGTAGTGGTGTATTTAGACAGAGCTGAAGTATGTAGATCCCTCAAGGCAAAATTGAATCGCGGGGAAAACGAAATCACTATTGGCCAATTGTCTTCGAGCATCGATAAGGACTCCATTAGGTAAGGAGAATACTTTGGGTTTCACCCCATAACTGTGGAGTTGAATTTTCAAATCACCTCTACAACTACTTGTGTATTGAAATCTTATGGATGAAAATGAGCTGGGTTAGTGGTTATTTAGATCAAATTCAGCTTTATGTCAACTACTGACACTTTTTAGCCCTAGATTTCAATACAAAAGTTGTTCGGGGTGATTTGAAAAATCAACCCCACATTTATGGGGGTAGCTTTGGGTTAAGGACATTTCGATGGGGTAGGGGATCGGAAGGGACGAAGGGACTATAGGGAAGGGTAAAACCTATATGTCATATACTTAATATTTTAATTCTGTATATAGATTCCCTGATTTGTGTTAATACAGAAATGTTCATCTATTATCATTTTAACATGACCTCAAACAGTCAAGCCCTTTGGCCAAGAGCAATAGAATCATTAGGGGAACACTGATTGATTGTACCAAATGCACATATATGAGCTGTACTGTTGAAAAATAGTAAATATATACAGGTAAAGAGCAAAGGTGAAACCAGGAATGCTCACGAGTATTTTCCTGGGCCTTTCAAAGATCATCCTAACCTGAGCCCTGGCACAAAACTTTGCCTTCTCTCTAGGACTATTAGTTTATAATTGAATGAAATGGGCATTTGTTAGGTCTCTTGTTATAGGTCTGTTTGCAGGGCTCATTTTGTATCCTGTGATATTTTTATATTGGAAGGTGTGTGTTATGCTGATGTATCTATATTAGTACTGTATTTTAGACTTCATCAGATCATGCGTTATTATATGTCACCGCAACAAAAGGTGACATGCTGTTATAGTTTCCATCTTTTTTGTGGATGGTGTTCAATGTTTGGCGTACGGTTGTTGTTGTTTGCCATCTGAAATAAATGGCAGGTGGTGACATTTCACAAATTGATGAGTAATGAAATAATTAAAATACACTTTGACAGTCAGTTGAGTTTTTCTTAAAAATACAATTTTGCACCTAGTTTTACACATAAAGTTCTTACACACAAGATTTCATATATCACAGACATTTATTTGATATATCTGACCATTACACTGTAAGATGTTTCGTCCTGCATCCATGGAGCCAAGTGTCAGTTATCTTAGAAATGTCTGCATAGAATATGAATACTGCCACTGTCGGAATGATGAACACTCACTTTCGTCATAAAGTTCTCATTATTTGCAAGGGCTAAAATGAAAGGAAAGCTGCAACAATGATATCACCAGGAAATTTTCTAATTCTATTACTGGTCATCGTTGTAGTATTGTTATAACAATTTTAAAGGTTTCCGGTCATTAGCATTCATACCCAAAATGAACTAAGACTCAGTTATTTCATCCTATATTAGCCTTGCCCAAGTCGGTCTCTTTTACTTATCTTGATTTCTATAAGACCTGGAACTTTTAAGATGTATAAATAAGAGATCTCACAAAAATACCAACAAATCTCAATGATTTTCCAGATTTGAGATGTTCAATACTTGTGCATTTGTTACCATTGGCACAGACAGTTATCAGCGCCATGACCAAGAAATATACATATAAGTAAATTTCCTAAAAACGAGTCATCAAAATGTTTCACTTGTATTTTCTATTGATTAGTCCCAGACTGACGCTATGTTGAATACACAATTGAATGTATTGATATATTCAAAAATTATAAAGAAACTGATTGTAGACGTCTAAGAAAATGTTTGAATAACCTAGCAAACATTAGAGATAAATAATACATGCTTTACTTTACATGTTGCCTGAGGGCTGCTCAACAAGGCACTTTGATCTGCTCTATGTATTTTTTGAATTATGAAATGACTTTATGTGTTCAGGTTGTGCTGATACCCATAATTTAATGCTACTACTCTAACTGTCACTAAGTAAATTCTGAGACTAGATATAAAGGGCTTTTATTTGGATTTTAGTCAAAAGGCAAAGTGCTAAAGAATAAGAGGTCAAAATGAATCGAGGGAATGCTTTTTACCGAACATTACCAACTAATGTTAATGTTTACTTTTGCAATTCATTGTGCAATTCTAAAAAAAGCTTAACTTTTATTTACAAGCTCCTGTGAATAACAGATGATTTGTGTATCATTTAATATTCTCATTTTGTTAATCATGATGAATATTGATGGTATTATTTCTAATTACTCCTGAAATAATCTGCAGTTCACCATGACCAGCTGGATGTTTGTTAGGCGAAAAGAGAGACTATTGGTGATTAAAATTGGACGAAAATATAATAATAGTACAATAATGTCATTTCTAAGTGCAATATAGTGAAATATTGGACCGAGGGCCGATGGCCCAAGGTCCAATATTTCACTATATTGCTCGCAGAAATGACGTTATTAGTATTATTACCACCGTTAACGACCAGGGCTGAAATAGCAAAAAAATCTTACGCACTGAACGATATCTAATTTCCCGGATAAAAATTGCCAGTCCAGAATATATTCTAGACTGGTCCATTTGGACCACCACTATGACGTCACACATTTCTCAGGTCGATATAGTAAAATGAACGCCTTCTAAACTAGCACTAAAACCCCTAGAACTGGCCCGGCAAGGTGGTAATAATAAGGGGTTGTTGACTTTGACTTAAGCTTGGTTTAATACATGAAAATGCAACGTTTTTAACAAGATTTAAATGCTATTACAACAAAAATGATTTTCTTGAAACAAATAAACTTAATTTGAAGAAATAAACTAATGGTAATTCAAAACCACCAAACATTAAATTTTTATCTAACCCAATTAAAGTCAGAACATTCTTTAATTAATTAGCCCCTACCCAAGTTAGGTCATTAACATTTGCAAAAACTTGCCAACGATGTAAAAGTCCTCCAATCTGGTACAGTGTAACCCTCTGTAAGTGGAACACTTTTTAGGTACCAGAATACCTCGAAGTAGTTTTCCACACTGGAGGTGTTCAACCTTTGAAATAAATCAATAAACTTTTAGGTATGAAATAGTTTTTCTTACTTGAAACTATGAAATGAGGTTTGCTGCAAATCAAAGCCCAATGTAGAGTTCTTACGGTAACAGGACTTGGAACATTATTCAACTTTTCAAGGTTTTCCATTTACAGGTGTTCCACTTTACAGGCTTTGCTGTAGATAGATAATTGTTTATTATGCCATTTATTGTATATTAAGCCCCTGGTAATAATCAGCAGTTTTACAGGTCACTGTGACCTGCCAGTACTGCATGGTATAAACATCATTCATGAGCAATTAATAGATAAATGTTGAAATGTTATGTTGTAGTGGTAATACCAAACACAATTTTGAAAAGTACTGATTGTACTTCATGTAGAAAGTATTTACTTACTGACAGTTATCAATTAAAAAGAAGCTCATTTAACAGCAACAGTAAACAAACAGTAACAAACAAAATCTATGAACATCTCTTGCTTTTGAATACCTCTCTTATGAACGCGTCTCTCTTGAGCGTCACTCTTGTAAAAACTAGATTGAACATCCCCCTAGTAAAAACTTTGCCATGATCAGCTCAGAGAAGAAAACGAACAAAAAAGATTGAATCAATCTTGAATCAAAAGCAGAAATTTTAAGATTATATTGCAATCAAGTAATAAAAGGAAAATTAAATGATAAATAATGTCATTGTTAGGTGTAAAATCTCAATTTATACCCTATTCTCTGTGAGGTTCAAACAAGTGAATATGATATATTTATTCCATGTTTAGGGTCGAAGGGCGAGGTGCAGCTACCATTCTGGAGGTCACCTATCAGACTAAATACATCCGGCCTGAAGAAAATGCTGCAAACCAACAGACAAAACTGATTGAAGCTGATCTCAAAGCCCTGGAAAAAGAGAAATCTGTCCTATTAGCATGGCAAAAGAGAGTACAAAAGCAAAGGAGTGTGTTGGATGGTTTCGCTGATAACTTGACCAAAGTCCAAGAAATAAAAGACAAGGTAGGCCTACAGTCTAGTACTATATTTTGGTTATACCATCTTTCAAAAGTTATATGTTAAAATAAAAGAAACTATTATCATGATCAATGTTTATCATATGATATTAGGTTTGTAAAGAATAGTTTTGTTTGTCCTTACAATTACATCTACATACCGTATTCCATTTAAGATACTTGTATAATCATTTTGTATAGGATGGTAAAGTCACCCCAATGTGTGGTGCCATGGATGCTACTGTTCTTGATGGCATGACAGGGTTCTTCACCATGTATGACAGCCAGGCTACTAAGCTAGACTCCACTCTTCATGAGATTGACCAGAAGCTGGAGGATGTCACTCAGGGGATCAAACAAAAGCAGGACACGCTGGCAAATATGGATGCTGAAAAGGATGATTTCCTTTCAAGGTAAGCGCTGAAAATATTTTGGCAGCTAGTTTGGCATGCAGCAATAGGCTCGAACCTCTTTTCAAGTTATTTTGGCCATTTTCGGATGAGTGTTATCAAATGTGAATCCCTCTGGAATTTTTGAAATTGGAACCTCCTTGCCATAAGTTGGCTATGGGACTTTGCGCTTTGTATTCAATTTTGAATGGTACTGTATAATATGTCCATGGATATAGCAAGTTTCTACCACATCACTGTACAGCTGCCCTAAGCTTTGGGGGCTCAGTTGGTAAAGCATTAGGGTTTCGATCTTTGGGTCTTAGGTTTTGATTCACATATGGTAGGGTATTAGTTTTCCATCTGTTATACTTGTTTGTGACAATGCACTCAGCAATATAAGTTATTGAAATATTTGAAGTACTATACAGGGTAAATTCTGCTTGAGAAATTCTGTATTGGAACGAGACAAAGTCTGGTTTGTGACAATGCACTCAGCAATGTGTTGTATTGTAATGCCACAAGTAAATAAAGAATGCTGATTCATTTGGAGTTTTATTTTTAAGACAAGGAAAGTCAAGTTGCTTTATTATGATATAACCTAAACAAACATTTACTCCCTTAAAACAATTTATATAAACAAATGTGATGCTCCAAAGTACATATTAAAATATTATTTGTCAAAAATCAGATAGCGGTAATCCAAGATAAAGATTTGTTGGTGCATGTTCCTTCATCATTTCAAAGTATCTTGCTTTAAAAATCAACTCAGTTTCAATGAAAAAATATAAAAGATATTCTAATGAGTAGATATGGTCATACCTCCCTATATAATAGTACACTGTATATGATTATAGCTATCAAATCATAGGGTGCTCTCCATTGGTTGTGTGGTTCAGCATATGGAATCCCTCTTTTCAGCCAACCTAAAAATCACTTGCTTGGATAAACATTTAGTTCTAAGAGGCTGACATTGAGTATAATTTGATTTCCCTCACTGATAAGTAGCCCTATGGTGAGCTGGTATCATATCATATTAGCAACCACCTTCTATGTAAATAAATATACTAAATATATACACTGCATGTACAAGTATACTAATGTAAATCTGGCAAATGTAATCACAAGCAGTGTTTTCATTATATGTCCAATTACCACACTCTGCTAATATATTAGTTATTTCCATCTCTCAATTTTCATACTCATACAGGGTGACACAACTTCTAAATAAATGCACATTAAAGTGCATCAAGTTGAGCTTAAGTCATCTGAAACTCCTTGTGGAGCTGCCCCATGGGGTATTGTTTCAATGTGCTAAAGAAAAAGTCAGAAATCGTTCAGAAAAAAGTTATGCAACATTATGTGGGTGGCTCATTTGTGTATCACCCTATATTTATGATCAATAAGGGACAAATGTTAAAGAACAAAGGAGGAGGGAAATTAGCGCAACAGATTTTGGACAGTCATATTTTGGATTTTGGCCATTTTCTGAGGATTTAAACAATTGCATAAGTTAGGCCAATGCATTACCTCCAGGAAAATCACTTTTAGAGATGATAAAATAATTTCGACTTTGAGACAGGGTAGATGCAAACAACCCACCCACATGTTTTTTCTGAAATGTTTTCCTAATTTTCGACCCCTTCCATCCCTGCTTTTTTAATTTTTCTTGCATCAATATGTTGTATTTTGACACATAGTTAACCACTTTAAAGGAATAAGTGATTCCTTCAGGGGTTTTAAAGATACCCATTATGGGTGACCAAACTTAGCTGAAAGCAATGATTTTTCCTATGGGAAAATAACATGGGAAATATTGTTTTCCACTTTATCTAAAAGGAATCATTTATTCCTTTTAAGGGATTAACTGTGTGTCAAAACGCAACATATTGATGCAAGAAAAATTAAAAAAGCAGGGATGGAAGGGGTTGAAAATCAGGAAAACGTTTCAGAAAAAACTTGTGGGTTGGTTGTTTGCATCTACCCTGTCTCAAGTTACACTTTAACATACTGGTAGTTCATCAGAAGTCAATCAGGTTCTCTATTAATATAATTCATTGGTCAATGTTTTCTGATGAGGACACATTATAACGGGACTGATTGGTTGAAAAAATGTCAGCCTGGTAGATTTTCAAATGATGTATTTAACTATGAAATTCATCTATCCTTGTCAGAGGCTAGTATAATATAAGCCATTCATTTCAGGGTACATTTTTGTGTAATATGGAATAATAGTAGTTGATTACATGTAGATTCCCATCAGGGTTATAATTAACAATTATCTCTTATGATATCTCAAATACCTTATACATGTAGGAGACTGTGATGTAATTACAGCAGTGTTTGCTCAACATCATTTGGCAGCTAGAACAACAAAGGTGATAGACAGGTCAGAATCATCCATTCATGGGCTACCTTGCCAAGCTTTGTGGTCTGTTTTATTCTGATACTCATAGCATCTTTCTGTTTCACCTGAAACATGATCTCGGGGCTGAGAAGAAATGAGATGTCATGTTTTATCATGATGGGTCTGTTTGGGGTGGACCAATGAGATCCATTCTGATACTCATGACATCACTCTTCCTGTTTCGTGACTAGCAATATTCTAGTTTCAAGAGGAACTAGGAAAGGCTGTTATCTCTCATGATGAATGGGATCAGGCGCTTTGGATGCATTTCTGGGGTAATATCTTCTAAAATCAAAGAGAATTGTATTCCTCTCTTTGACATTGTTCAGAATAAACTTTATAAAGTTTATATCTCATTTACCTTTGCAGAACATGTGCATGACATGAAGTTGACTTACAGACCCTTTCTTGGTAATCAGAAAACCCTTTGAGCAACACCAGGAAAACAACAACAAACATCAAAGGAACAATATGTGCCTATAGAAACACAATCCTCAGAACCAATTCACAATCTTAAACAATTGTAAGATTTTGTGGAAGATCTTATGATTCTGCTCTTGGACATTCTGTTATTTATTCATTCCCATTTCTCCCATTGGGCTGATCATGACCTTGGAATGGTCTGGCTAATTCAATAATCCTGTCAGAAAATGCACTTCATCTCACATTCCTGCCTGGAAACTACCTATATATTCAGCATTGGTTTATTGTACTCTGAATCTGAATTTGCAAGCCACGCTTAGTAACCCTCTCACTAATACAAATGATTCTGCAGTTATAATGAGGATCTTAATGATCTCAATCGTAGTTTTAATGACCTTATATGGAAGTTTTCAACCGAGAATGCACTGACATGATTTTACCTGATTAGATATAGGCTTGATGATTTCCATGATGGTTGGATGAAAGATCTTGCATCTAACTCTTATGTGAAGGATATGTAATAGATCTGTAGATAGGGTGGTGTACATGTACATACCTGGCCCTAATGCAAGTTTGCACTTTCTCTAAATTAGGCTAAATTAAAATCAAATTGATTTATATGTACATGTGACATTAGTACAAGTTAAGTCTAGGTCTGGGTCCTGATACCCTTTGCATTGTCTTCATCACTCTTTCAGTTTGCAATAAATCTCTGAACTCACCGAACGAATCACAGTTTGTTGTCTGTATTTTTTCCATTTCTCTGACGTAATCGCATAATTATTGTGCACGCATTAAGCACTTCTTCCTTCCAGCTCGCTGATTGGTTGAGAATAGATCATCATGGTAGGTGTGAAATGATTTATGACCCGAATTATCATGGGCATCTGAGTCGTACGTGGGAGCAGACTGTAATTGAGTCTATACTAGGCAGAGGGTAGTTTATTACGAGACTCTGGGCGCAGGGTAGGCTTCTGATAAGGTTGAGTTCTACTGTTGATCAGCTTGTGTAATTTCAATAAGGACAAATGCAGTGTGCAATTTAATTGAGGAATTGTGATAATGGTCTATTGGGGCTCCTCATAACCTAGAATATTATCAGCAAGGCAATATATCCATTAGGAATGATTCTAGAACTAATATGGGATTATAGAATGGAAGGAAAAGCATCTGGGAACTATTTTGGTCATTACTGTGTATATTCATCATGTTGTTTCTATATGTTATGGTAATAAGGGGTCTACCATTGTTACTTTCAGAGCTTAACTTTTTCAGAAAACTTTTTAGAATTGAAGTAAAATTTAAGATAGGCTCACATTTGAATATTGTTCACAGTATAAGCAAGATTATGTGGAAAATAACTAGACCAGAATTTATGATCGAAGAGGTTTCTTTATGACCAGGTAGACATTTAGATTATAAAGGCATTAAATGAAAAATAATTCCCCTTGGAATCCTGGTTAGAAAACAATATTTTGAGCATAATGAGGATTGGAATGGAATTCTGGCTTCATCTTTTTTCTGAAAAAAAAGAATTCTGGACAGAAAATGATTTTGCTAGGTTCCCCAAACCTAGAACAGTGTGGTCCAACCCTAGCCTATGGAACTTATTAGTATGATGGTTTACACTTCATTAGCCAATGCATAGAATCCCACCATGGAGAATTTTGATGGGTTCTCTATATTTTTGACAACTGGTTTTCTTTCAGTTTGAATATAATTGTAGATGCCATTTCATGGCTATTGTCACAAATGGTTGAGCTAAAGTCCTTGCTATTGTCTCAATGTTTTCCTGAGATTTTCAAATCCACATTTTACTCTTAGACCTTGACCAACTGCTGACATTGGATTAGCTTTTTCAGAAGCTGTCTTAGAAACTCCTCTTTTGCTACTACTGGGATGAGAAGATGATGATTGATAAAGACAGATAAAGTGTGATATTTTGTTAAGATGAACTTGTTTAAATCATGGTTGGTCAATGTACTCTACAGGGAATGAATTATAATAGGGTTGGAGGTTAGTGTTTGCATTAACAAGTTCATGATTTTCTATATTTTTTTGTTCCTTAAGATATGGATGAAACTCAAAAAGTTTTGTTCCAACATTAATAAACATGATAAAATACCCTTTTGGTAGATTTTGGGATAAAAAAAGTTGACTACAATTTGCCACTTTGTTTCCTTTATTTTTCAAA